TAAAATCAAACCAAAAAAAGCAAACATATAAAAAATCATTTTTTAAAAACTCTCTGGCTAAAACTGACCTCAACAACCTACTTTAATTCCTCAGTCTTAAATCAAACAATAGAAGTTATGAGAGGCTGTGTATGAGACAAAAAGGGTCAGTATATTAGTAGAACTGGAAAGAGGACCCATGTTGCCAGGTTCCCTTTTGACTGCCCTTCCAGATTAACACTGCACAGTCCTTGTGTGACACAGGAAAGAGGGCAGTTATCTGTTATGCCTGGTTAAGTACAAGGTATTAACAATACTAACCATCATATCAGCCTTGACTGGTAATAGCTAGGTATGGTCTTTATGGGGGTAGGAGGATGTCTGCCTTGCCCTGCAGATTGGTATAGTATTCTTTCATCCTAAAATCTTAAGTGGTACTTTGAAGTGCTTTGTTAAATAGTGTGACTTTCCTACAAAAGCCCATTCATCTAGTTACAGTTTTTATGCTAAAAATATTTTCACCTTTAAAAACACCAGAGGAAGGTATTACACAACCTCCTGGCTAATAGTCTCATTCACAAAAATCTTGTATATCAAGAAACTGTCCCTATGAAAAACTTTTTTTCTGAAACAGTTTTATCTAATTTTCCCCTGTACTCAACAAAACAGAGAACAATTCCTCACTGACCTCTACCTACCAATATGAATACAACTTAAACACTGCTACTAATGCTTTCTTTGAACAGTTTAATTCTATCTTTATAAATATAGTGACATTAAAGATTTTTCCAGGTTATTTAAAAAATACCATAATAAGAAATTTGTCCAAACTGCCTGGCTTCTTGAGCCTCAAGATACTTTGCATTTTAGTTACCCAATATTCAAATAATGATGCCTGTGTTGAATAATACTTCACCTGGACCAGAAGTTATTACAGTAAAATCAGGCATGTGTTCTGGTCTATGTCTCTGGTTTCAACTTGGTTTTAAAATGCTCTGCTCTATGTAATGCCATTTCCATTTTGAAAATAAAAATAAATCTTTAGTTCAGAAAGCCCTGTACCAGAGATGTGTTCATTTGTGAGGATAAAATGAATCACAACTGGGCAGTAGCAGAATGGCCAGAAGTAAATAGTAAAAGCAGGGTCTGAGGTAAGATTTTCTTTTTTAAAAAACCATGGCCTAGATAGAGAGGTAGGGAGGTGTACTAATTTAGTTAGAATGTGACTGTGTATGTTCTTCAAAACATCTAGTTTCTTTGATCTTCCCTGAAATTAAATCAATTCAATATGGTAACAGTGATTACTTCATGATGATCAGGAGATCTGATTGGCTGTTACTGGCATCACAGGAATCACAAGGACATACTCCTTCCAGAGACTGCAATTTCACATATCTTTGATAAGTAAAAAGTATAGAAATGTTAATATTTCTTAATAAAAATGTGTCTTCAATTTGAAAATAACATCGAGTCAGGGGCCTTCAAACAGAAGTTAGGGGCAAAGATAACATGAAAGGAGTTTCTTTCTTCCTGGACATGTGCAGAATCTATTCACTGTTCAATTCAAAGTTTTTGACAGTGTGCACAGAATTTAATTGTAATAGTTGCAAAGTATAAGCAGAAAAATGGTACTTTGAGTTATCAACACTACAAGGTTGTAACATGTCTAAAGACTAAAGAGACTGCCACTCTAGACACACTTAGTCCAATCTCCAGTATTTAGCATGAGGAACATATATGGCCACAGAACTTACAAAATCAAACAGTTTAAAAACTTCAAGCCACCTGAAGTAACACTAATTTGTTTTCAAAATCTTCAGAATAGTTTTCACTGAGAGTGAATCAGGGCCTTCTGTTCAGAATAGCAATTATTTTCATTATATTTGAGTTGGTCCCTTAAATGTAAGTGAATTTTGTCTTTTCAAGAAAACCTAAGGTCAATATGAATAGTTATTTCTTAGGCAAAAGTTTAGGGGTAAAATGGAAGCAGAGAAATTTGTCTTCCTGGTTAAAAATAATTTATTTTGCTCCCACTGAATAGGAGTGAGGCATCCTTTGTAAGTAACAGAATAATGACTATTAAGTTCCAGTACTGCTCTGAAGGCAGTTTATTTTGCATTAAGAAAAACTGTTAGAGAATGTTATCCATGACAGTAGCTTAAAAATTAAAGCTACCTGATGAACTAATGCCAAACTGGACTATATTTTAAAAAGTCAATAATGAAAACTGGTCTAGCCCTTTGGTGCTTTTCTGTTTCCTTATCAGAAATTACAATACCTAGCTTTTTACTTAGTACAAAGCATTCCACTCAACAAATCAAAAAACTTTCTAAAAAACTATGTTGAAACTAAAGACCCAAAGAAACTCAATCAAGATTGAATAGTAAATGAGATAATTTGCCACTTTAATTAAGAAAGATAGAACCACTAAGACAATGGACTGTCTGGTTCTGTCTCAGTCACAGTAGTAGTGGGAATACCACAATCACAACCACTACCACCACCGTCATCAAGATATATATAGAACATCAGCTTCACACACATTTACCTTGTGTTTCTTATAGAAGCTAATTTGATAGACAGTTTCCTTAAGTAGGTGTTCCTGGTGTTTGGGATTAAAATGAACAATGGCTGGCTACTAAATGCCTAAATTAGATTACAAGCAAAGATGATGTGAAAATTCCCCAGAGAAAAATATAAGATGTGAAAATGATGAATAAAGTCCACACAAAGCATCACAGAAGCTTACTCTTACTACTTGTGTGACCTTGGGCAAGTCACCTAAGATCCTAGACCTTAGGTTCTTTATAAGTGAGAGGGGGACAAAAATAGCATCTCCCTCTCATGACAGCAGTGTTAAATATGAAGAGTTTAGGGAGGTGCCTGACATACAATTAGCCTATGATAGATGTTAATTACTGTAGTTGGTTTTTAAAATAAACACACACACAAATGGAGTTATTGGTTGTATAGGCTATCAACTTTCTTTACCATAATCGTATTCTTTTTATTTTTGTTTCTTACCTATGGCACTATAATGTATTATATAAAATGATCTATCCCTTGAATCCCTACTTTTTTTAAAAGTCACTGGATTTCAAGACACTAAATCTATGATATTCTTTATTACTGAATTTCAATAAACCAACTCCTTCCAAAATAATCAGAAAACAAACGAGCACAACATGCTAAATGGTTGATTTTAGGAGATATAACCACTATTTTTCTTCACAAACAACCAAGACAATCTCTCCCGCTATTAATGTTAATGAGCTTATTTGGTGCTGCTTTAGTTTACAAAACACTTTCAGTGCAATGGTGAGAAAACTCCTTTCTCTTGCTTTTCCTACTTTCAGTTCTCTACATGACACAAACACACACAGGGAGGCAGCCACCAGTAGCAGCACCAAATATTATTACTTTTGCCCACTTTCTTACAGTTCATGAACGAAAGGAAGAAAAAGGAAGACCTACTTTTTCTTTTGTTTTTGCACTACTGGGACTGATCCCAGGGTTTCCACATGCTATACAAGGGCTCTATCACTGAGCCATACCACCACCCTAGGGTACTCTTTTTCTCTACACAAATTCCCAGAAAACTCAGAGAAGTCACAATGATGTCTTACAAAGGCACTGAACATGGTTAAGTTTCAATAGGAATTTTAAAGTTTTATCAGAATTCTACAGAAAATTCTAAAGCTTTCTGTCAGAAGAAGAGCCATGTCTTCTGTCTTTAAAGAAGCCATAAAACTGTTTTTCTAATAGCAAATTCTCTCATGGAATCTTTGTTTTGCAAAGAAACATGAAAATTTGACAGTATAATGAAAGAAGTCAAGTCAACAATAAGGGAAATTCCTTCGCCTTCAAGAATCAAGATCTAAAAACAGAATCACAGATTTTTAAGTCTTGGAGGAATTAGGCTTCAAGCCATTTAATAATGGCAAATAGTAATAATAAAAAGTTACACTAAAGTTATTTTTCAAAATTCAGTAATCAAATGTTATTAAAGATAAGCAAAGAAAACAATACGTTAGATAACAACATAGAATTTGGAAGTCCACTTGATTCACCCTCATTTCCCATGGGAAACAATTTGTGGTTTTTTTTTTTTTTTTTTTTTTTTTGATGCTGGAGGTTGATCCCAGGGTCTCAGGCATGCTAAAAGCACATGCTCTAGCACTGAGCTATACTTCAGCCCAATCTGTGGTTTTGGAAATCCTGTTTTTATTTGGTCTTAGTTTATTCTCTGTGCTAATGATGCAATACATATTTACTAGAAAGTAAAACACATCTCAAGATCAGAACCAGGACCCATAACAACTGTGAAGGTTTATATCATACCCCTGTAGCAAATTATAAATATATAGGACACAGAAAGCAATATATGACTTCTGATCTGTAACAAAGGAGGCCAAATTCAATGACACTGAAACTGGGCTACTATTTTAATCTAATGTTCTATTCATTAAGGATCACTGGTCAAGTGGTAGGCATTTCTTGGTCTGAGGAGCTTATGTAGAGTTCAATGAAAATAATTCACACCTAATCCTCTGAGGCACGAACCCCCAAGATCTTTGTTTTATGAAACCAGGATTACAACATGAAATGCCAAATTGTCTGTTAAAAATATGAACTTTAAGAGGGAAAAAAGTTTGAAGAAGAAATTAAGAAGAATGACAAGAGAAAAGGAAAAGACTATAATTCACCACTGAAGAAAAATGTACCGAGTTCAAAATGCAGCTCTGGTAACTACAAATGTCAGTTGTGAATGACATCAGAAATGGACTCCACATCAGTTTCTGGCTTGTTTAGAACTTTCTCTGGCACCTTCTGACCTCCATGTCCAAATCCCCAGTAGGCTTGGAACTGCCCCATGCATCTGAATATTATCCTGACATATGCTCAAACACTGTATTATAGTCATTCTTGAAGATTCTAAATAATATGTAATCACCTTTCTATGCCAATTATAAACTTATCTTAATAATAAAAACATTCAGTAAGAATGAAGAACTCCCTACCTTGAATACATTAAGTTGCTGATTAATTGTCTCTGTTTCCATACCAACGGGACCTTGTGACTCTTCATGTTCTTCAGCCTTCTGAAGCAAAGTAGAAAAGTTGTTCAATTTGCTGTAGAATTCTTCGAGACGCTCAATTGTCCCTTCAACCTGCTCTTCTCTGGCTTGAGCTCGGTCCAGTAACTTGTTGCACCGTTTGCTTAAGGCCTCCAAGTCCCTTTTGGCTCCAACAAGGTCAGGAGAGGTTTCTTCTGTGGCTAGCATCATCTTGCAGGTTTTATTAGCATTGTCATTGTTTGCTATGAGGGCTTCTAGTTTCTTCAGAAAGGATTTTATGCCCTCCTTTTGCTTTTGCAATGTTTCCACATCTCTCCCCACTGGAGCCATGCCATCCAGTTCATCATCAAATTCTGCAAACTGGGAAAACATCTCTCGGATGGTGTTCTGAAAATGCCCTATGCCCTGAAGCTTGGTTTCCAAGAATGAACACTTCTCATCAACCTGCTGACTTAGTGTATTATGCTCTTGAGCTAAGGTTTCTACTTGTAATAAAACATCAGAGACTCCCTTTGAGTCTGAGGCTTCTACTACAAGGTCCTGTGCAAGCCTTTTGACCACATCCACCTGATGCTTCAAAGTCTGAAGTGATTTCTGCTGAGTCTGCAACATGGTCAGATATTTGTTACTGTGAGCCTGGGGTCCCAGGGAGTCATGGACATCCAGCTGCTCCTTTGCATACTGAAGCTGCCTTTTAGCTTCTTTGGAAGATTCTTGAAATTCCTTAAACTTCTGGGCCATGTTCTCCAGGGAGAATTTCTTACTGTGAAGTTGTTCAGTGACCATGTCCACCTTCTGGATCAATGATTTATTCTCATCTGTAACAACCTCTTTATCTACCTCACAAACACTGAGCAAACTATTGGCTGTGTTGTTCAGTAATTCCACCATACCAAAGTGTTGGTCCATTTCCTTCTGCAGAGACTTTAATTTGGCAATAGAATTCTCTGTTTCAGCAGGATCCAAGCAAAATTTTACTTCCTCCAGCTTGTTTTGACATTTATCAATCCATGGCCGGAGAGTTTCTACGTGCTCTTTGTACTTGAGGGCTTTTTCCAATGAATCTTTTAACTTGTCTTCTCTTTCTTTCACCTGCTTATTAAATCCATCCCAATCAGTTTTAATAGTGTTAAGCTGTAACTGTAAGGCTGCCTTTTCAGACCCGTGTGTTTTTAGTAACAAATTTTCACCTTCTGCAATGGTTTTTTCATAGATATTAGACTGAGCAGTCAAAGTTTTACTGAAGTCTTTCTGATCTTTAATTAATGTCTCCAAGACATCAAGTTTGGCTGATATTGGATGACACTTGTTTTGCTCTTCTTTCTTTGTATCCAGCCAAATCTGAAAATCTCTAGACATTTGCTGAAATTGATGAGAGCTTGCACAGGCTGACTGCAGGTGCTGGACATGATTCTCTGAAAGCAAAATCACAGACATGTTTATTTTACATCAAAGTGTCAATCTATGAAAAGTCAGTAAAAAAATCTTCAAATTAATATGCAGAGATGTCTAAAAGCAAGGACTTCTAGCACTGACTACAAGAATTACAAGTGAACTTACTGACAGAGGGAAAGAAGAAGTAAGAGGTAAATACAACAATAAGAAAAAGGATCATTGGCAAGAAGCAGAAGGCAGATAAGAGGAGAAAAGCCTTGATTTGGGAAGTACAAATGCATCAAACTGCATGGTGTGGTCACACTGCACACGGTCTGCTTTGCCAGTATCATCTACATTCCAGAATAGGGAGGAGATAACTGCCAAGGTCTAGATTATGTTAATAATAAAACACTTCTTTGCAATGACTGTTTCATATCTATGGCTTTTACATATTGTGGAGGTTTAATTATTTGCCCAAGATTTTCCAGCTCTGAAGTGGTTAAGTCAGGATATAAACTCATGTGGTCTCTATGGGTTACATTATGCTGTCTCCATATTGAATAAAGTTTAATGTGAAATGATTGCTGTAATCAATAAACACATTCAATAATTAAAAAAACATAAATTGAGCATTTACCAAGTGCAAGGTATAGTACTATTTTCCAACAAAAATAAACATAGCAAAAAAGTTTGTCCTTCCTTGGAAAGACCCTCCTGAACTCCAACAGCACACTATGGTGTCTCTGACAAATACTAGCACAGCTGCCACAGAATTAGTGCTGCAGTAGGTGAGAGAGGAGAACAGGGAAATAAGAGAAATTTCTCTAGAAAAGTTTTCTGTGGCAGAATCAGAAAAGTAATAGTAAATAAGAAAATGACACAAAACCTTTTGAAAAACATTCATCTATTTTTTTCCCCCGGGTGAAATAAGACAATATCACACAGCAAAAATGTTTACATCTTTTAAAAACCAATTTGGGATACCACAGATCAATGAGCCTTCATTAAGTGAGTTTTGCTAATTTTTTTTGATGGGAATGGAATTGCCTGACCCTTAAACTATTCTCTGCACTTCTATGCTCAACCACCCCTTCACTCATGCTCAATGAGGCAGGGGCTCTTTAAGGTCCTGGATTATTGGCAACAGCTTGGAAACAGCAGTATCTGATATTCATTTCTGTCCAGGAAATACATGTATCATAAGAGAAGACAGACAAACCTGCTTTTTGTTCAATATCCTTAAATGATTTTAAGATGCCTTCCAGTTGCCTACTGAGTTCTGCTTTCAAGTACTCTTCTTTAACCAGTGCTGACAGGTCCTCACAGAGTGCCTGAGCAAATTTTATCTGCTTTGTTTCTTGCTTTATTTCCTGCTTCAGGTTTTGAGCTGTTTCCAGCTGCTGGTTCATGGCATCAGGAAGCGTGTTCACCACCACACTGCTGGTGAGTCTGTCATCCAGCTCACTCAGCTTATCAGAAAGGCTTCTTAGCAGGCCCTGATACTGAGTGCTTTTGACAATGGCCTGGTCAATCCAGTCACATCTGTCACTCAATTGTCCTGTCAAGCCATCCCACTTTTGGGTCACAGCTGCCAATTGCTCTTTCACAATCCCATGTAAAGAAGGGTCTTCTCCAGGTCTGCTCAGAATGCCTTGACCAGATGTTGTTAGCTGTTCATACTGAGGCTTCCGGGTATCGAATTCTTGCAGCAGAATCTAAGGTAAATAAGGGTAAATAAATACAAACTACTGTATAATTGATTATAGAAGACAGAGTTTTGAACATTCGAAGAAGAAGATATGGTACCAATTCATCTAGTTTTTGTTTGTTTCCTAGTATTGCTTTCCTAGCTTTTATTTGAAGGGCAGTGCAGTTATCTTATACTAATTCCTACAGTCATGATATTTCACAGAGATAGCTTCATCTAAAATCATCACATCTCCCAAAGGGGAAGAATAACATAAATACTTTTGGTAGCCTGGGCAAAAATGAACAAAAAAGTACATGTTCAAGTTTTCACACACAGAAAGAAACACTGCCAAGAACGAGTTCATGTCACATGACCACCACATTCATCTTTTCCTATTCATGTTTTTCTTTGCCTAATTTATGAAATATTCAATAGCATTCCACATTAGAGAACATGTGCAATTATAATTGTGTGTCATGCTCATGATGCACTGATTTACAATTTATAATTTTTTTAAACTAAAGATTTATTATTTACAGTCTATTATAATAATGTTAGAAAATCAAATTGCTCAGGAGACAGAGGTTCAACATGACATTATAAAATGAATGACCCCAGAATTTTTTTCTTTTAGTATATTTACCTACCTTTTATTGTACATTAATCTCTATTTATCCATCTCTGGGAAACTGACTAGAAACAAATATTTCCCCCTGATATTCATTTTTATCTTTTGTTTTATGTTTGATTATGAACAGATATGAACTAGATCATGTGACCCAAACTACCAAGACTTATTAGTATTTTCAGCTCATGTAATCACCTCCCTTTTCTCAAGCCACTGATCACAGCTGAAGAAATCTAACTGGAATCACAATGGAGCTTCTGCTATTTATGTCTGACTTTGTAGATTCCCCACTCCTGCTTGTGGATTTTTCTACTTTGTAATTAGACTAGCCTAACACACAGGTTTCAAGTTCCCTCTCTGCTTCCCTGACTCCCTGTCCCCTTCTTATTCTGTCTCTCTCCCCCTCAGGACCATACTGCATGAGTTTTACAAGTTTCATTATCTGCTACCACAATCAAAATGAATAAAACCTCAAAGGAGTAATTTCTAAACAATAAAATTATAACTAGCTTCTCAAAAAATATTAAAGAAGCACATTAATACTTCAGAGAAGGCCTTTTTTAACAGGGTCTGAACCAACCACAATATGACTGAAATAATCAGGGGGGCTTGGTCCACTCATGGGCTCAGGGAGCATATGATGGGATGCCTTATAGCTGCCATTCTCTAAAAATCATAGCTTTGGGGGGAGTTTCCACTAATCTTAGGATGGTGTCTCAGGAGCATCTGAAATATTACAAAGACACTCCAAAGCAGTTAAAGCACATATTGCCCAAAGCTAACATGTTTATAATGAAAGCATTTGTCTTGTTAAGTCAAGGTGCTATGCCTGAGCTGGGATATTAGTTAATACTCACCTGCACCTGCTGCTTTTGTGTGTTCAGCATATTTGGGTCAATTGATAAGGGCCCAAGAACACTGACCATCAGTTCTTTCTCCATAAGCCACTGTTTTAAGTGAGCCTCTAAGGTCTGGAATTGGGTTAGATTATTGGAGGATTCTTCCAATTTTTGTTGTCTATCAACTGTTAATTGGTTGAGTTCTTGCCACTTAGAATCTAAAAGAAAAAGGATGAACTGGTATTGGTTTTTATATATTTAATGCAATTATAAGAAAACTGTTTGATATTTTTCAAAATATAAATTTGGCATAGTTCCTTTCTTATAATTCTCCTTATTTAGCTAATTGAAGGTCTAGCCTAAAAAAAATTAAGTGTATTCAGTGACACAGATTTTATGGACCTGGTGGCTGCATATCAATGGAAGTATAATAAAAAGAACTAAATCTCATTTTAAAAGATAATATGGAATGTGGAATATTCCTTAAAGCCAACAGGATCCTGAGAGCTTTCATTCTACGAGAAATCATTCAATCTGTTTATTCAACTACTAGCACAATAAACATTAATTTTCTTTTTTGAAGTATCAAATCTTCAAGTATCCTTTATAGGCAAGTGGCTGCCAAATGTGCATCTATCCCCAATCATTCTCTCCTATTCAAATCACTCATTAATAACCAGCTGCTGGAAAGTTCCAATAGAAAAATCTCACCAACTCTTTAAACTCAACATTAAAACATAAAATTCATTTTACTCCTCTCAAAACTGGAGGATAGTTCTGACTTTTAGATTTCTTTCAAAGGCTGTTATCTCTCCCAGGTTGCTGGGATGTAATAATTCAGAATGTTCTTTTATGACCTCCAAACTTATTGATCAAAAATGCTTTCCATTCCTCCTTTACATTTCCAGTGGTGTACTCCATTTTGGTTTTTAACATATTTTGTGAACACCAGTGTTGCTTAAACTTGAGCTGCATTAGAATCACCTAGTAGTGGGGGATAATAAACACAGATGTGGGGGCAGGGGCACCTCCAGGGTTTCTGCAGTAGGTTTGGGGTCTGATAGTCTGCATTTCTAACAAGTCCCAAGGGTGGTGCTGTTCCTAGTGTGGATTCCACTGGACCCAAGCTAATCAATCTTTTTAATGGTATCGTACTCTTAGTGCTTCTCACCTGCAATCCATGTGTTTTAAAATACTTTCCCTTATAACAATATACTAATTTTTGAACATGGCACTTGCCTGTCCATTACCTGTTCAAATCCTTCAATACTTAAATTCCTACCACCCAGATGATAAAATCTGAAGATTTTTTCCCTGACATTCAGGGCTTCTCCCAATCTGGCTCTAGTCTACTGATCCTAGGGAGTTCAACTGAGGTGAATCCACCAACCTAACCTTGCACATGTTGCTCCATAAACATTTATTGATGGGTTGTGACTAGTTGATTTTAGAGATTTTTTTTTCATTTACCATAATATACTAATGGGCTGATTTTAATAGAACACAATCCCTGAATCCTTGTCTATATAATTCTACATGGTGTGTTCCAAACACAATCTGACAACAAAAGAAGGCAATTTAAAAAATGGTAGAGAAATAAAAACATCAATAAGTGTTTTTGAAATACACACTCCACACTCCCACTTCCACTTCCATTCTAAAATGTCTTGATAATACTCTACCCAAGTAATTCTGATATCCCAGGGAAGGCAGTAAATTAGGAGCAAACTGGCTACAATGCAACAGGGGTCTCTTTAGCTGGATTACACATACCTATTAACTGAGATCTCTTAGGGTTAACTTTTTTCAAGCTAAAAAATATTTATAGGTTTCTAAATCTATCACAGTATATCTGATTCTAAAGAAAAGATAATACTTAGATAAATATAATGGGACATGTCAAAGTAGAGTACTTATTGTAATAATTGATGATATAACTTAATAGCACTTACTATGTGCCAGGTACTTTCCTCTGAGCTGTACATACATTAACTTATTGAATTCTCCAAACAATAGTATGTAGGAACAAATATTATCCTTGTCTTACATTCAATTTTATATATCTCTCTGTGTGTGTGTGTGTGTGTGTGTGTGTGTGTATATATATATATATCTTGTTTATTCATTTATATGTGGTGCTGAGGATCAAACCCAGTGCCTCACATGTGCAAGGCAAATACTCTGCCACTGAGCCACAACCCCAGCCCTTACATTCAATTTTCAACATCATCATGATAAGACATGAAGCTTGTGAAGAAAATTCTGCATCTATAAGCAGTAGTTTTTACAGGGACAGGATGTAGGAAGATAACTGTGAGTAAAGAATGAAAATCATCAGCCTTCTGTAGCAAAGTACTTTTTGATATTGTTTGGGGGAGAGAAGAAAAGCATGTAGTACAGGGCTGCAGGAGTCCCAGAATTAACCCTAGGAAGAGATCCGAGCCCACCTTTTTCAAATAAATGAACAAAAGGAACATGTAAAGTAAAATATAATAAAGCATAAAAATGATAAAAAAGCATAAAGGTTACAAAAACTACTAACAAGAAAAAACATTCATGAAAACAATATTATTCAAATGCATGGCATTTTATTAGTACATGTGTCTATTTTCTTCATAAAATACTTATATGCCAATCCTCAGAAAAAAATATAAAAGGACACTTTTAAATATGCAAAAATGGATTCCAAAACATTAAAGAAAATCCAAAAATAAGTGAGGCTATTGGATGTTTTCTGATAAAGATGATAATTTTAAAAAAATGTTTGAGCTTCTGTTCATGGATTTGCTCTAAATTATATAACATACCTATTTCTGTCAACATCTGTTTCCATTTGGGGGCCTCAGGAGTATCTGGATTCTCCTCCAACAATTCCGTCAATTTGTCTTTCAACTCCTGTACTTTGTTTACATTTTGCTTTAGTTCTGCCTCAAATGACTAACAAGGAAAAAAAAGTAACTACATTAAAGTATGTCAACATCAAAAGACAAAAACACAATTATGATAGAACTTTTTTCCCTCTAACATGACGAAAAGAGGAAAAAATCCACTGTTAAATGCTCAAGTGGGTGAGGGCCTGGATGCAGCAGTTAATTATTTTCCTTTCTTCCTCTCTGCTAGTCTTCAACTCTGGGATAAAGGAATCCCACAGAGGAACACTATAACCATGGAGATAATGACTCTCGTCCCCGTTACTGAGGAAGAATTTCATATTCTCAAACAAACCACCATGGAAAAAAAGCAAGATGACATCAGTAAGATCATAATTAATAAGAAAATCAGCTTTGATAAAGGCTGCCAGAATTTGAACATCTACTGGGAGATAAGCATCTTTTTGGACAAACCCATTATCCAGTTCAAATATAGATTAATAATCTGTAGAATTTTTTGCCATCATTTTCACCATGGAAAATCATTTCCCCAGTCTGGATAGCTGCGAATACCATCCACTAGAAAGGGAGACATTAGCTGCCCAAATCTATACTAGACACAACAGATCCCTAGTATACTTAGCCCTTAACTAAATATTTTTCAACAGTTGTTTGGTTAATAACCAAGATTTAAACTCATTTAAAGGTGACAAAATTTACTAATACCCAACAGGATACTCTTCTTTTTTTTTTTTTTTTTTTTTTTGGTACTAGGGATTGTACTGAGGGGCACTTAACCACCAAGCCACATTCAGGTACTCAATCTTCATAATACTAAAGTGCAGAAAATGTGACTATTATCAGTCTCTAGGGAAAGGTCCATTGAGCAAAACTGTTAAACTGTAGATCTAGAAAAAATAATAAAGCTCCTGACCCCCAAGGCTCAGTTCCAAACATAAATCCACTCTATTCCATAGCTTCAGAATAATATACCTTATTCTGTTCAACCTGAGTCTTCACAGCTTCAGTGTCTGTAGGTGTTGGGGTATGATGCCATTTTTTTGCAGTTTTGTTCATTTTCTCCAACCACTGCATCATTGAACTTGATTCTTCCTGAGCCTTTTGCAATTTGGAGAGTTTAGAATTCAATTCAGTTATTTTGTCCTTGAGTAAGAGGCCAAGATCTTCATAACCATGACTTATGTCAGTCATGTCCTTTTTAATGGATGTTAAACCTAGGAGGAAAGAAAAAAAATATACTGATATATATTCAGAACATTGGAGAAGAGGTTTAGAAACAGAATTTGTTTTATACAGTATTTCCTTCTATTTTGTCACTCTGAAGCTTGCTATGCTAAACCATAGATCTTTTAGAACTAAAAGGCTAGATCACTTTATAATGCTATTTCATGACATATTGTATAATATAAGTGAACAAAAGGAACAAAAAGGAACAAAAGACTCAAATCATAAAATGTATTCATCAGGCACCAACTCAATAAATTGGTTCAAATAATGTTATTCTAAGTGACAAAATATCTCAAATTAACCAAAAAGAAGGAAATAAAACCAAGTGTCAAACCAAATACTATGTTAATAGCAAATTGTGCAAATATGATATTTATAGAAATTGTAACTACTATTTAAATACCATTTAAATAAAGTTTGAAATTTCAATATGACAATTGTTTTCCTCTAAGATTTAGTCTGTCAAAAAATACCAAGTTATGTTACTCAATAACCTTTTAAAATTACTATTTACCTTTATTTGCCAAAATGTCTTGAGTATTTGTGTCTGTTCCTTCACCATTTATTATTACTCCACCTGCACAAATATAAACACTGAGGTAATCATAGATTTCTTACACATTAATTATATTACACAATAATAATGTAATAAGTGTACCTACTACTATACATTAATAATACATGACATTAAATCAAACCCCATAAGTGATGATCATTTTTAAATGTTATTACTATTCAAAAATGAATTCAAAACCCAGCAAAGGTCCAATATTTAAATACTCATCTTCACATAAAATTTGTTGTTTTGGGGTACTGGGAATCAAACCATGGTCTTGCATATACTAGGCAAACTCTCGATCATATCCTCAGCCCTAAAATTCATTCTTAAAGTAGCAACATGAGCATCTTAAACACCACAGAGTTTTAGCCCCTTTAAACTATACAAATCAATCATTAAATATTACTTCATAGCAAATTGTGATAAAGTTTCTTTATGGCTCAAGTTACATTAATGACAAATTGCTGAAGTTCAGAAGGTGCTCAGTATATACCTATGTCGAAGCATAAATAACTGGCCAGAATGTCCACCTTACTGAAGGACTGAAAACTGTCTGGTGCAGTTGCATGGGGTAATCATGGGCTTAATGGAGGCAGAATGATTGAAAAAGACATGAGAGAAAAGTCAAAAGTCAAAACAAAACATAAACCCTGTTACTCAATCCACATAAAGTCAACACAGAGAAAGCGCAATGGTTGGAGTGCTAGGGCTGGGTGTACGACCCACCTAAATTTAAATCCCAGCCCCACTAATGATAGGCCATATGAGTTTGGACAAACTAGTCAACCAAACTGATGAGAGCAATAAGACCTCACTTGAAAGACCACTATGGGAACTAAAGATTGTTAACCCATTGCCTAGCAAACAGGAACTACTCAGTGAGCAGTAACTAGTATTTCTCTTTTATTATATAACCATATAGCATTGGTACCTTTCCTCATAATCAGAATATTTTTAAAAAATCAATTAAACTTTCTCATGCAAGCATCCATTGGCTGCCTATCCAAAACACAAATGCATTTCCCAAATCAACCACATGAGAACAAGTCTAAACAAATACTTAAACATCTGAATTTAAGTTTGGTTCTTTAAAAAAGAAAAAAAAAATCTCACACACAACCGAATTTCAGATGGAAATGAAAACATCCTATAGCTGCTCAACATTAATTCCTATTATGGCTGCTACTTACCTAAAGTCAAAACAAATAAAGATATTGTGTATCTATTACAAATGGAAAGGGGACACAAGGAACTAAAATAGTTAATACACAACAGGATTCCTTTTCTTTAAAACAAGACAAAACAACACGTTGACATTTCAGGAAATCTGATTAGTAAAGAAAGGAGAGATCATCTCACTACATATAATATGGGTTTTCCCTGAAATGGAATTAATAGAGTGGAATAAATGGTTGGTTGAGAAAGGCCCAGCTGGAACATCAGTATCACAATAGGGACAGCTGGAGGTCTGGCCAGGCTAGATAGACCACAGAGGGGACCCAGAAACTCAGAATAAGGTTAGAGATTTACCTTCTATTTTTGGATTTTCAAATCTCAGTAGAGTATGTTTTAAAAACTATACCCACAACTCACTTAGATTGATTTTACAGCAAATATTTACACATGACTCTCCCCTTCTGTTGAGGAGAGGGGCTCACCATGACCAAACTGTAATTCTGATATGTTGGCTTTGAAAACACTGTACAGAATAAAGTGAATAGGAATAAATAAGAGCAGTCCACTCTACAGAAAAAAGCATGTTTCCTCTCCTCACTTCCTTCATAGGTAATTAGAATTGTTTAATTATATATTATAATGAGAATAGAAATACCTCAAATAGAATTTCAATATTTCCATTTAATTAAGGTAAAAACAAAAAAAAATGAATTTTACCTGGCCCCACAGTATAATGCTTCTTATTCTAACATATTAATTTGAATACATTTCATTTGTATCTTTTAATAAAATGAAACATGAGAGGAATTTGAGATTGATTATTACAGCTACTTTTCCATGACAGGTTTTGGTGTGTTTACAGATGCCTCCTATCTTGCCACTTTCACTTTGTATTTATGTCATTTGTATCATATTTATGATTATGTTTTTAAATGGACAAAAGCTAAGATTCAGATAATCTTTCCAAATATTTCTATTTGCTTACATTTGTTTTCCTGTGGTAAATTTGGGAAATGTTTTTGTTTTGGAGAGGCAGCCAAAGGACTAACAAAGGACAAACTACTAATCAGTAACTTTTAGCTGATTTACTAATCTGTGCATTCACTTAAAATAACATACAAATAAAATTAACATGAGTGGCTCCAATTCTTACAGTTTTTGCCTTAAATAAAGTACATACCTGATTTAACTGCTGCTATTGCTTTCGCAGGGGTAGTCACAGCACTTATAAGGTTACATAGTGAGATCCCACTGTTATTTACTTTCTGAATCTCAGGTGATTTTAAATTCCACTTTTCTTGTAATTTCTTGAGATATAAAAACACATTATTTTTCAGTTTTAATATCTTCAGAGTTGCACATTATAATTCAATTTCTTAAGCATATCTTAAAGCAATGACTACAGGCCCTGATTTGTGGGGCTGTGAATGGAAGAAAAAGACACCATCCCTCTTTGTTCCCACAGCCCAGGTAGCTGTTAACACTGTTAGCAGTGAGAGGGAAATGAGGTACAGCCTATTCTGCATTCTGCTCCTAGCCATGGTGGAAGTCAGGCTATGCCTGGTTCCAAAATAACTGTCAACTGTCAGTGTGTAAGACTACTAGGTACCAGCCAAGTTATAAGATGAAATTCAGTAAGAACAATAAAAATAAATACATGGGAATTCAGAATTCCATTTCACTATTAGTTTTAATCATCAAAATTTCAATGAATTTTCAAAAACATAACTTTTCTCAAATTAGGAGAGGAAAACTGTCCTAACTGGTTATAGTTTTCATGACTTTCAGTCAGAGGACTAATGACTTGTATACTATTTGCAAAGGAAATTCAAATAACTTATATCTTTGAATACTGGTTGATATTCAATTTCTGAGTGAAAAACAGGATCTTTTACTTGCTATTATAAGAAGTTGTATGAAAATTTAAAAATGAAGTAGAAATTTTTGGGGGGAAGGAAACTTGGAAACTAGAACAGCAACTCATTAAAACATCTTTTTTTTTTTTTTAAGCCTATTAACTGAAAGGTTAAGCCTTCCTCAAAAGGATCAGTTAAACCCATATCATGATTCTCAAAGATAACTAAAACATACAGTATATACAGAGATCCAACTTACATGATTTTAGATTAAGGAAACTATCTTTCATTACCAACATAGGCAAACAAAAATTAGTACTATAGACAATGAGTCACCTTAGTTTCTTCCAGGGATTTTCCTAAATCTTCCGCACTAAAAGAAGGCTGCACGATGGGAACTTGTTCTGTTGTTTCTTTTATCCAAGACTTCAATGATTTAGCAAGGGCTTGGAAAGCTTCCAGCTGTTCTTGACAAGAAGTTACAGCTTCTTTCCTGGTTAACAAAAATCATACCAAAATGTAAGCCACAAAAGGAGATACTCCAAAGGAATAATTACTAATCAATAATTATTATTTCAATATTGGGCATGACATTAAAAAAAAAAAAAACTTCCATGCACAATCTGTTACTTTGACACCAGAGAAGAAGTTTCCTAAGTGAAATCGAGCTAAGTAACTATTTGTCTCTTCCTCAGGCAAAATTCATAGATAGGAGCAGTCAAGAAATCTGCAACCCATATGTAAAGACACTCTCAAATGCTACATAAACTCTAAGACTACATAAACAACTTTAACATTAATTAGATTCAACGAGCTTTGATCTGTCCAGTTTGCATGATGCTTAACACCAGCATGCAAAGAACCAGAAAGGAAGTTGTAATATCACCAACAGGAGGAAAATATCACACCACCTAGTGGTTTCTACACTGTACTACCATCACGTTAATGGATGGGTAAACCAAGTGCTCCTGGAAGATCAGATTTCGGTGTCAAATTGAGATGAAAGCTAGTGACTAGAGAATCTTATTGCCAACAGGCCCAGGCCCCATGGAGACCCAGGAAGCTTCACAGTGAACTACAGGGATCTTCCGGTATGCTCAGCACCAGGGAGGGAGCAAACGAGCCAGCACAAGAACTATGAGTGCAGTGACACTTGGCATGTGGAATGACACGTGTACATATGGGAGTGTGTGGAATACCAGATAAGAATGTGCTACAGCTGGAGTAATTAATAAAGGCTCTGTGGTTTTAAAGTTGGACCCATTTGAAAGAATAAATAACCTACAGATTACCTAAGGAAACCAAGAACACTTTTTCTGTGCAGTATGAATTAAGTAACATGAGGAGATGGAAAATATAGCTCTGTAAGTAGTATGAACAGCACCTAAAAGTTTTAAGGGGAGAATTCTAAAGAAAGAAAGAAAAGTTTCTGAAAGAGACATGGCCATTTTCTATCTTTTAGAGGGTTTGCCACATAAACCTCAGCAACAGGAGATGTGTATTCTAAAGTAGCATGAGGTCAGAAATGCAAAAGTTCAGTCACAAGGTTTATCACTGTATAGCTTTTGTAGTTGAAGTTAGGTTTATTCTATTCTCTTGTTTCTTCATGAACTCATGGCTCAGCTACTTTGTTTTATTTTTGTTTTTTGGAGACAGGGTCTCATTAAGTTGCTGAGGCTGTCCTCGAATTGTGATCCTCTTACCTCAATCACCTAAGTCACTCTCATCTATTCTTTAAAAAGTAAACTGTTATTTAAAAAGGAAAAAAAAAAGGCCATTAAAATCTATATGGAAATTATACACAGCTTATGAATTGAGCCCAGAAAGCAAAGAATCATGAGCTATCTTTTCAGGTTATTTCTGTCTTTGCAAATAAAAATGTGTTATTTGACAAAGGCTTGAGGGATTACAGTGAGTTTAAATCTTTTTCAGTAATCCATTACCATCACCATTTTTCATACATAATGCTTTCCACTTTTTTGGAGGAAGCATTTGAGTTTTCCTCCAAAGCATTTTAAGAAATAATATATTTAATTTTAATAGCAAAAATAAGTCAAAATATAAAAACAGGTAATAACTCTACTTATTCTTAAGTTTTTGAAATTGTTTAAGTTATCTGCACAAGTAAATAAAAGAAACTCATCTACTTACTATCAACCAGAATAAAATAAATTTTCAAGTGCTACTTACTTTTCTTTGATAGTTTCCTCCATTTCTTTGAATTTCTTTGACAAGTTATTTGTTTTTTCAAAAACCAGAGCCTTATCACCTGGTAAGCCATGGCTGGATATCTCCTTCAGGAGGTTATGTAAAACTTCAAGATCTTTCTTGTGTTCTAAGAATTCAGAAGTTGATTCCTACAAAATAGTTAGATAACCAATATAGATGTTTCTGTATCCTAAAGGGAATTCCATTAAGTGGTATATACAGGACCAGAATGGCTTTATTCAGAATTTCACAGAAGAATAAATCTGCCTGGTCAACACTCTAAACATAATATGCAGATAGGCTATTTGAAAGAGAATAAAATTCATTTAATTTTAAAATGTACTCTGATATTTATAATATCTGTGATATGTATGATAAGTGGTATTTATTTTTATATGATAGACAAAGGCTTTAAGGCAAAGATGTGATTTGTAGCTTTTAAGGGAAGAATATATAAATCTTTTGTTAGTATACAAGCATTGAAAATGATACTTTATATTTATAATTGTATTTATAATTATAATTCTGCCAATAAATTATGAGTTTGCTTTACTTATTAATCTCCTTGCTCAGTCTCAGGACTATTAAGGAAGACATACCTGCATATACTGAGACAATTCAGTAACATCTTTTCCTGGCACATCTACCTCAGAAAGAGCCTGAGTTTTTGTTTCTAAAAATGCCTGGAGCTTTTCTGAGAGGTTCTCAAAGAGTTCGACTTTGGTTTTCAGCTCCTCCATTTTGGCAAGTTTTTCTTTGTGTTTATGGCTTGCTTCTGAAAACCGAACAGATAGGTCCTTCATTTTAGCTTGCAGTGAGGAAGCAGTGGATGGATCTGTTGTTTCCATAAATTTCTTCACTTTTTCATTCATGGCATTTATACTGCTCTGGCGACCTGCAATATCCTGTTCCAACATCTGAAATACACCAAATATTACATGCGCTTTATAGTGATGTTTACAAAAAATGCCAGAGTTTTAAAAATTACTATTCAAAACAACATAAGCTTGAACAACCTGTGACTAAGAAGGTTATTAGTTGAAACTAAATGACAGCTTTAATTTGTCCCCTGAGGAATCCCATCCCAAATCTCTTCAAGGGGGAGTGGAGAACAGCTGGCTGGTTGCTCGAAAGAAGCAGGAGGCTGCTGCTATTCAGCAACCCTTGGGAACCAATGGAGCCTGGGGATTAGCCATGGTCCTAATTTTTAAATAGCTAGACAACAAGAAGATTGATCTGATGAACCTCATGTGCAGCTGGCTGAAGCAATGACAAACAAGATAGGACTCAATTTAGGTAAAAGCCCTCTCTAATAAGCAGTATTCATGAAAAAGTAAATGAAGCCCTTTCTATCCTCTATCATAGAAGAATCATTGCACACACTTGAGTTTGTGCAAGCACTGCTTTTCACACTGTATTATATGCAGGGAACATATCCTCTTCTGTTTCCTTAAATTTATGTTAAATCTACCTATCCTTAGAGTTTACAAAACTGTTTTTTTAAACTATCAATGAAATTTTTTTTTTTTTGCTTTTTAAAATTGTCACTTACAGTGTTTTTACTGATGAGATCCTGAAGGGCTGCAGAGTTTAAGGGCACTTGACCTTGTTCTTTCAGAGAACTTTCCACACTTCCCATCCAGTCCAGCATTTCATCTAAGCCATCTTGCACACTCAGGGAACGGGTCAGGGTTATCTGGAGTTTTTCATTGCGTTCACTAACAGACTTGGACAGATCATCATATCTCCCAACAATGTCATCTAGTTCAAACAGAGCAGGAAATGTTAACCACAAAGCTCTCTTTGCCCTATTCCTTTTCAAAACAACACCAACGTGAATCATAAAATTTCCATACAAAAGCTGGAAAAGGAAAAAGTTTAAATGATAAATTCATAGTGCTTAATCAGATCACTGTCTAAAATCTTTAAAAATGAAGAAACAAAAGAATATAGTAGAAAATTAAAAGTTAAAAACAATTTTTAAAGTTTTATTTGTATACTCTACTTTAGGAAAGAGATTTTTGGATGTATTAACATTCAAATTGTCCAAAAGAGATGAATGATCTGAAAAGCAAATCTCTGAAATAAATACTAGGTCTCAATCTGGCATTTCAAATTGGTAATACCTGTTAATATAACTATTTGGATAAAAAATGAGAGTCATAAAACTATTCTTAAGAGATGCATGTACTCATCAAGAATTAACCTTTACATCTAAAATTTATCACTCTCTCACTCACTCTGTCACACATACATATGTGCTAAGCTCCTGTCATTCTTCATAACCTGAGAAAGCATTAAAACTGGCAGATGCAAATGAATTAAGAAACAGAACAACAATGAAAATTCAATTAAAGGTGAGTTAGGCTTCTAAAGTATACACAAAGGGATTTTACTTAAAAGTTTAATAGCAAACAAAATGAGGAAATCACAAACTCAATGAGCTAATCTTTACTTTTAATTCTAAAGTTGCTGAAAGATTTAAGAAAAAGAAAAACCCTTCCAGCTTAGTTTTCACTTGAATGTAAAGCTCTTCTCTTTAGCATTTCATTGTAAGCCATTGAGAAGTTCAAAGCATAGTGCTCTTTGATGTATTCACTTTTCTCTCTCTGGAAAAACAATCTTGTTTTAATTGTGAATTTAATTTATCACTTATTGTCCAAGAATTCAAAAAGTATCTTAATTATTTCTGAATGCTTTCACCTGATAACACCATAGATGCTTCAGTAGAAAAAAGCCATGACCTGAAACTCTATAAATGAAATATGTTACATTTGTGTTTGGTCCATGGAACACAATCCAAATAACAAAACATTATTTTGGGTTGTTTTAAAGATGTGAGAAAACAGCTTGACAAATTTTCACTGAATTGAGAGGTTAAGGTTAAGGGCTTGGGGATGTAGCTCAGTGGGTACAGTGCTTTCCTAACATGCTCAAGGCCCAATCCTCAGTAACACACACACACACACAAAGAGAGAGAGAGAGAGAAATGTTAACATTCTGCAAGAGACAGTCATGCTCCAAGTACCAAAACTCAGTGTTGGATCTGATGCTTCCTTTCGGTGGGGGTAAGAATGCTGAGCAGGGAGGGAAGAGGCATATCATAGGCACCAAGAGGCAAAACAAGCAGCATGAGACCTAACTCAAAGCCATGAGCAAAGTTACTCTAAACTGCAGGTTGAGGTTTGCAGGTGAGCTGCTCCTCACCTGGGCAACACCTGGACATCAACAGCATGAGTGACATCAGCGACTGTTTAGCCATGATATGCAATTTCCCACACCATCAGGCATTTCTATATAATTAACACATTTTAGTGTTATTGTTTGCTATGGACTGATTATTTATGTCCTCCTCAAATGCACAGGTTGAATGAAGCCTAAGCCCCAAAGTGATAGAATTTGGAGGCCGAATCTTTGGAAGGTGTGATATTGTGATATATTTAAAAATATACATTTGATCTCTGACCATGGCTTCCTGATGTTGAGCTCTTAAAATGTCCTGAGTAATAAGAAACACAAGAACAATCTTTTGTTCTGATATTTGTTGATCCCACTTCCTGACACAGAGCTCCTAAGACTTTTATAATTTCCTGAGTGACAGGAGTGTCTTGACAGGGCTCCTAAATCTCTTGAAATTTCCTGGGTAAGAGAAGCATCTTTTGTTCTAATGAGGTGACTCCTGTGGGATGCTCCTTGATGGCTTCAGGATGGGGCTGGTTCTCAGGGGGACAGATCTTGTGACTGAGAGTAAACTTGCATCCTCCACCCTCTGACCTCCAGGGAGGCAGATGGGCTGAAGTCTGAGTTGACATCCATGTCCAAGGATCTAATCAGTCATACCTATGTTAATAAAGCCTCCTTTAAAACATAAAAGGACTGGTTTCTGGGAGCTTCAGGATAGCTAAACACATGGAAGTTCTGGAGAGTGACCTGCCCAGAGGAGCGAGGGAGTACTATACCCCTTCTCCCCTACCTCACTCTGTGCATCTCTTCCATTGGCTGTTCAATATCCTCTGTAATACCCTTATAATAAATGGGTGAATATAAATAAACTATTTCCCCAAATTATGTGAATTGCTCTAGCAAATTAATTGAATCTGAGGTAATCATGGGAACCTCAATTTATAGCTGGTTGGTCAGAAGTACAGGTCTCAAAGTGGGAACTGTGATTGGCATGTGAAGGGGGAAGGAGGCGGTCTTATGGGACTATAGGATCTGATGCCTTGCCAGGTAGACAGTGTCAGGTTTATAGAAAGCTCAGCTGATTTCCACTGAAACACTGCTCGGTGTGTGGGAAAAACCCTTCTGTATCAGTTCACAAAAATAGTCTGTGTTGGGCTGGGGATGTGGCTCAAGTGGTAACATGCTCTCCTGGCATGTGCGGGGTGCTGGGTTCGATCCTCAGCACCACATAAAAATAAAATAAAGATGTTGTGTCCACTGAAAACTAAAAAAATAAATAAATATTTAAAAATTCTCTCTCTCTTTAAAAAAAAAAAAAAAGAAATAGTCCGTGTTGTGTTTAGTGCTGCGTGAGAAAAACACTTAGGTTTTCCTGTCACTTGGAGGAGGCAATTGGTCATGAGAGAGGAGCCCTCTTGAGTAGGACCATTGTCCTTATAAGAAGGACATGAGAGAGATGATCCCTCTCCACCATTCTCTACCATGCAAGGAAGGATCCATCAAGAAAGTGGCCATCTATAAATCAGGAATAAGGCCCTTGCCAGGACCATGACTTACTGGCACCCTCATCTTGCACTTCCAGACTCCAAAACTATATTTGTTGTTTAAGCCATCCACTCTATGCCTTCTTATAACAGCAGCCTGAACAAAGACACTATTTGTTCTGCATTTCTTAGTGAAAAATATTGTCACGGAACTAAATTCTTTATTTTAGTGGCCAAAACATATTTTAGAAAAAGCTACAAAACAATATCTACTATCTTCTTTTTTTTTTTTTAAGTTGCTGGTCTTCTTAGAAGTCAGAAAGATCTTTGAGAAATTCCTCTGTATCCTAAATACAGTTTCACACATTATGAAATAATGCCAGAGAGAAACTTCAAAGTCTTAATGTAACATGAAATTTAAACAACTAAAAATGAAACTATGGACCCTTAACAATGGTGGTTGCAAGGATGGGGGAGGGACTAAAATGGCTCTTCAAATAACAGAAATACAATTAGGATAGTCTTTATCTTTCAAGTCCCAACAACAGTGGTCTCTGTGTGGATGTACAAGATGGGGACATGGAACAAAATGTTAAAATTGCCATTTATACTTTCACCTTATATCTTAAAATTCTGTTTTGGTTTTATAATTATAATACATGTGAAAATACAGTAATATGAGCATATAATTTATAAGTATATGTGTTTATAGAGGGGGCAGGTTGAAATTATTTATTGTTACAGGCATCTAATCAAAAAGTTTGGATGTCAATAAGAATGAAAAAAGTATCCCCCTTCTACAGAGTGGCTTTTGAAGCATAGAGTTCTATTCTTCTATTCACATAAAATTTCCACTCAGATTTTACTTCATGCTTTATCTTGGTGAAATATATGTCCAATCACCTGCTGTGAACATTATTTTTTTTTAAATTTCACACATGCACATATAGAAATATATGATTCCCATATCCTGCATAACCATTTCACAGAGAAGGACCACAAGTAATACAATATATACATTTTCTCTATGTTTTTTAGAATATCTGCCTTTAGAATTTACCTATGAGAAAGGAAACAAGAAAATGAATTTCTTACCCAGAGTTTTCTGGATCTCATTTTTGGCTGGAAGTGAAGATCCCCCGGAATCTAGAAGTACTTCAGCTGTTTTTTTCAGTTTCTCTATAGCAACCTGCTGACTTGATATCTGTCCTTGCAGAGCCTATGGGATTAAACACTTTCCAATTATACTCAAGAAGACTAAATAACAGTTTTCCAATATGGAAAAACTGATTTACAATATGATAAAGTTAAACCAGACAGAGTAAACTTTCCATCATAAAAACTTTCATCATTATAAACTTACTCTGGAGTTCTTAGAATAAGGCCATTATAAAGCTGCATTAGCCAGAAAAGCATCAGCCAGCCTGAATAACAAAAAAATAAGTCTTGAAATAAACTATCAGCCTATGTTCCTAATAATGTTCCGGTTCCTAACCTTAGAATCCTATTAACTATAGCCCAGGTTCTCCCTTAATCCTCATTTCTAGGCTTTGACAACAACTCTATTACCAAAGACATCCAGGACCATCTCTGACTCCAGGTAAGAAGAAGTTAAGGACTTCCACACCAGTAGGTCCTGACTCAATACCAAGTTATATTTATGTTTGTTGATAACAATAAAAGTTAGCAAACATCTATCAAGAAGCCTTGCTATATTCCATGAACACAAAAATAAAATAGACACAAATCTTACAGGAATTGTAGTCTAAGGCAGGAAGTGACAAGCATCAAATATGAGTAGGGAAAAAATGCTACTGGAAGTTGAGGGACAGAGCAACTAGAGAGGGAAACAGGGCCATTGCCATGGTGTTGCCAATGCAATGGGGCCTGTGGAGAGTGTGGATGTGGGGAGGGAGAGCACCTCCCTCAGAACAATCAGAAGGCACAAGGGTGGGGGCCTAAAAGAAATCAGGCTGGAAAGCCAGGCCAAGGGCTTGCTGTTGTATCTGACAGCAATGCAGACTTATTCAGGGCTTTTGATTAAGTGTCGAAATGTTCAGGGCTGACCTATACGAAGGCTAAATTTGTAGCAATTCATGGGAAAAATCCAGTGGCAGGGGAAAAAGCAAGCAGAGACCAGTCAAGTGAGGGCCACTGAGGACTGAGCACCACTGCACTATCTGGTCTGTCGGGGCTGACAAAGTACAATTTGAGTCGGGAATGTTTGAGGACTCAGGACCAATATAGTAGTGGCTAACTAAAGTGATTTTTCAAATGAAATAAAATAAAATTTTAAATTCAATTTCTCAATGGCAGAGCAAAATAGCCCCCAGTGACTAGTGGTTGCCATGGTAGGCAGAGCAGGTGACAGAACACCTATCATCACAAAATGCCCCATTGACAGGCACCACTCAGAGGGCAGGAATAAAGCACAGAGGAGCCAAGAGGAGAAAAGTAGCCTGAGTTTTTAAGCCCAGTAACACAATTGTGTTCACAAATTTATAAGCCTATTTGGGAGTTCATGACTTCAAAGAGCTTTCTGGACTTTATACATAAAGAAAAAGCAAAGCTGGCAATGGAGGAGACCCTGAACACAAATGGCACTAGATATTAAGCAGAAATCAAGACCCATGAGGAGACCACTAACGGAGAAAGTCCAGAAACGCCAGAGAAGGAGATTAAGCAGCACCATGATGGATACTTCTGTTTATATGACAGGGAGGGGAGACTGCACAAATGTGATCAAATAGGTAGAAATGGGCCCAGTGTGATTCTGACCCCAAGGAGAGAGAAAAATGGGAAAGTGTCAACTGGTTCAGAAAGATCATGTAAGGCAAATGATAACAAACCCTTGAATTTGCAGCACAGAGGTACCTGCAGATCTGAGTGAGCAAATGCAATTCAACTGTGCGAGTGAGGAAAAATGGTGGGAGCAGAAAGTCTCCCAGAAGCTAGTTCTAGATTCCTAACACTCCCGACAGACCTCTGCCCAAGTGGGATGGCAGGACCCACTCTTGGCTTATCTTCATTCACCAAGATACTTGAGCTCTCCTCTGCCCAGCATTCAGATCTCAAAGTCCCATTGTCTAAATGGAGATTAACTCATCTCTGGTCACGGGCCCAGGTTTCCAACTGCTTCTTGAATGTTTCCATCTGGGTGTAAACAGCGACCTTAACACTCATTAAAAAAAAAAAAAAAAAATCGAAATCTGAACTCATCATCTCACTCCCCACACCTGTACTTCCTCTTAGGTTAAATCTGATTACCTGAGAACTAAACCTGGAACTACTTCTAGACTCCATCCTCTCTTAAACCTTTTCCATGTGCAGATCAACCATCAAGTCCAGACAGTTTACATGCTTTACACTTTTTCAAAGTCAGACCCCTGCTCTGCAGTCTTCGGATCACTGCAGGGTATTCCCTCACGTGAATCACTGAAGAATGACTACCAACTGTGCAGCTGTCTCCAACAACTCCCCTGAGAGAGACCCTTATGTGTTTTATCTAAAGCAGGTTATCTGACCAAATTGCTGTTCCAGGAACTTCCCTTCGTAAGGCTAAGATTTGAGCATGCTATAAAGGGCTCAAAGTAATTTATTCCCCCATTCTATCTGCAATCTTCTCTTTCTCCATTTCCTGTTCCAGAAATGCCCAACAACACAGCTATTTCTTAGCTATTTGCTCATGCTGGACCCAATGCCTTCACATCTCTACACACTGGCCTCTTATGTAACCTGCACACCCCGCCTCCTTACCTAGTTGTATAAGTACTCTCCTGGGAAGTCCCATAAACATACTGTGAATGTTATTGCCTTGATCTGTCTCTTCTATCAAACTGCCACCTGTCTGAGAACTAGGAATTCATCCTAATCAGCTTTTAATTATCCATGCATAGCCCAGCATTTACCATATAGCAGGCCTTGATAAGTTTCTGGAATAAGTGAGTGAACAAATAAGTAAATAAATGAAAATATCAAGTGTAAGACCTAAAAGGCCTTCTGATATGTCAGCATTTTTTTTTCATTATTTAAAATAAGTGCTTAAACCTAATGACAGAAACTTGAACTCATCTTTATAACACAAGAAACTCGAATACACACAAGCAGCCCACGTAGAGGTAGAAAGGCCCTCCCAACCCTGGCCAATAAGGAATCTGTGGTCAGAGTTACAGATCTGACCTGCTTCCAGAGGAAAGAGTCTACATCAGAGTAGATGTATTTGGGAAATTCTCCCAGAGACATAGTAACAAAAAGTGGAGGAAATTCCTGGAGACATGAACTTTACCTATAATCAGACTGAAATCTGGGCCAGAGGGACAGCTTATTTATATCACATGTTTATTTAAAAGATGAAATAAAGTTAAGGACATTGGTTGTTGTTGTTGTTGTTGTTATATTTGAATTCCCCAAGGACAGAGACAGGGTTTTAATAAATCTTAACAATGTCTTTTACAAAACTTAACAATGGACCCAGAATGCAAACATTTACTGAAAAGAGTAAATATGTGTAAAAGTTACGTATAACTTTTATATGGTTCTATAAAAACATCCAGTGTCAACCAGGCTTGCACTATTATCTTTTTTTAAAAAAACATCAGAAATTTATTAGATGCTCAAAACATTACATTGATCTTGACATACCATATATCATACATTTGTTTCAAATGGGGTATGAATTCTTATTATTCCCATGTGTACAGATTGCAGGATCACACTGGTTATACCACCACGTTTATACATACTTCCATACTAGTGTCTGTTGTGTTCTGCTGCCCTTCCTATCCCCCCTCCTCTCCCCACCCCTCCCCTACCTTCCCCTCCCTCTACCCCATCATTTCTCTTTCTCTCTCTCTTATTTTTTTTCTCCCCTTCGCCTCACATTGTCTTTTATGTATTTTTGTGTAACAATGTGGGTCTCCTTCCATCTTCCATGCAATTCCCCTTCTCTCTTCCATTCCCTCCCACCTCTCCTTCCTGTTTGATGGTAATCTTCTTGTCATGCTCTTCCTCCCTGCTCTGTTTTGAGTCATCCCCCTTATATCAAAGAAGACATTTGGCATTTGTTTTGTAGGGATTGGTTGACTTCACTTAGCATAATCTGCTCTAATGCCATCCATTTCCCTGCAACTGCCATGATTTTGTTATTTTTTAGTGCTGAGTAATATTCCATTGTGTATATATGCCACATTTTTTTTTATCCATTCATCTATTGAAGGGCATCTAGGTTGGTTCCACAGTCTAGCTATTGTGAATTGTGCTGCTATGAACATTGATGAAGCTGTATCCCTGTAGTATGCTCTTTTTAGGTCTTTTGGGAATAGTCCTAGAAGGGGAATAGCTGGGTCGAATGGTGATACCATTCCCTGCTTTCCGAGGAATCTCCATATCTTAATATGCATATTATCTTAATATGAAGGAATAGATTATAAAAGAATGTCCCTTCTTCACTTCTCCTCAAAATGTCCCATGCCTTTGCTCTCCGTAATTAAATAAAAAAGAGTTAACATGTATGAGGTTGTAATGTAATGAGAATCATGTTTTACACAACTACTTTGTAACAAAACTGAAAATTGAATTATTTAAATAGATGTCTTATTTTGAATAGATTCCAATGGAATTAGCATCCATGACACAGAATACTACAAGATTATGACCTTGGTCTTCTTGCCTGCACCAGAGAAAGATGGAGCCTATGAAGCTGAGGTTCCTTTTCCAGGTCATAAAACTTTCCTGGCTTACCACCACCAGGCTCAGTGCAAGCCTCAAAGGGCTACATCATTGGTCAACATGATCTGGCCCTGTGGCCGATTCCAAACCTAGGCTTCCAGGCTGGTCTCAGAATCCTGCCTTCTATGCCTCTGAAGGGGCTAAAATCTTGTTTTATCCAGTGATTTCTCTGGAGGGGATCTTGAGGAGTGTCCTTGTAGCCTAGTGGTATCTGACTACTGACAACACAGCTAATAGATTTTTTGTTTTGTTTTGTTTTTTTAAACAAGGCCAATAACAACATGGTATTGGATGGAAATATTTCAAATGAACTAATGAGGCCCGCCAAAATTACATTTGTTACACAGCAAAATATAAGAAGAAGCAGTAAGGGCAGGAAAGATTGATTTTTATACAGTTGTACACACCTATAATCCCAGCTACTCAGAAGGCTGAGGCAGGAGGATTCCAAGTTTGATGTCAGCTGGGCAACTTAGTGAGACTGTGTCTCAAAACAGAAAATATTTTTTCTAAAAAGCTAAGGATATAGCTCAGTGACAGAGCACCCAACTTGAATTCAATCCCTAGTATTGGGGAAAAAAAATCTGTAGTAGTCTTTAGTGTTTATCTTATTATTGAAAGAAATAATCATTAAATATTAATAGATACAAAAGAAACAGACTACCTAATCCTCATAAAAATCCTTACTATATATGGAGATCATCTGTGAGAAAAACAAAACATATGCCGGGAACAGCTTCAACTACACATTTAATTTTTAAAGTTATGCTGTGACTTAATTAAAATTCATTCTCCTTTGAGATAACTCTCTCCTCTTTGTATTTTTTGACTGCCTTTGGACTTGAGGAGCTTTTTTCAACACTAACTAAATAACTTTTTTCTGTTCTAAAATTAATCTCTGTATCAGTTTAATTAAAAAGCTTAGCTATCCTTTGGGTCTTTCTTTTTTTTTTTATTTTGCTCTAGTTACATAAAAATTACTTTTATATAGGCCGTAATCCATTTCCTAACACAGATCTAACTTTAAAAAATTGTATTGTATTTTTACACTAGAAATACCTAACTTAGAAGATATTTCTATTATACTAAAATGCCTAACTTTCTAATTAAACGTAATATCATCAATCTTAGTTAAACTATTGGCATTTCTCATCAAAACAATAGCCTTAAGTGCCACAGGATCTCCTCTGCCGTTGGCATTTATGCTGCCCTTGAACACATAATCAGTGGGAACTGAAAACTTAATTAAGAACCAAAGAAAAATCAGGACTGAAAATGCACACTGAAGGAAGGCATCAACCCCAGGGGGGCTGCATTAATCTGGGGACACCTACCTGGCCCAGGATACCGCCTGGTGTGCAGGTCAGATGGGGTGAACGCTCCAGCCCAGGAAAGCAGCAGTGCCCTCGGCCCTCTACCCACTCCCTGCTCCCAGCCTTCACTTCCACCCACTCCACACAATGTCTTACTGCTTGGCTTTGATCTGCCACATTTACCTTAGCTAAGCAATCACCAGTCTCAGGCAATACTTGACTTTAAGCTCAACTAATAGGGGACCTGTTTTCCTTGTTAATGGCACAATGGTGGTTCATGACACTGTAACGAGCATGCAATTATATTCTAAAAGGCAGTGTACTGAAAATTTTTTGTTTACTTTCTAGCTAGGGTAGCAATTAGTTGCTGCTACTCCCAGCTAAAAGAAATCATTGAATAGTTTATGAATTAGAACTTTCTAATTCAAAATTATTGATTGTTTCTAATAAGAATAAAATATTTTAAAAACATTCTCTCTCCTTACATTAGAATTTTAAAATATGCTTTAAATTTAAGAAATAGAGATTTTCTCTAACACTGTGGTCTGAATGATTATACAATTATGATATCAAGCTTGCATTTCTGAAAAGGCAGGAAGACAGTTTGCTTTGCTTTCATGGTGCTAGGGGTCAAATTAAGGAACTTGCACATGCTACCTAACTGTGCTACAGTAAGCAATCCCCCCAACCCACAGGCAGATATTTTGAGAACTGTGCTGAGTAAAAACTGAAGTCTATATTTCTAGGAATCACGAGGATACTCAACAAAAACCCCAGTCCTGGCCCTTGAGAACTCTGTATTATAGTGAGATCCCTTATTCCCTTCTACCTTCCCATTTTTGAACAAATATTTATTGAGCACCTACTTTAGTCCGGGTAACAGCCCAAGCACTAGGAACATAGCAATATACAAAACTAAAACACCTATCCTCACAGAACTTAATTCTAATAGAGGAAGAAACAAAGAAACAAGATACATAAAGAGGCCTGGACAATTCTGGGTTTTACTTGAAGAGACTGGATAGTGCAGATACCCATAAGGGCAATGTCAAACCAGCTGAGTAACTCTGGGCAAGGGAGGAGACTGGAGAATCAAAGTCATAGCTCCCTCTGGAGAGGGAAGCATACTTTTCCCATCCTTCATTCCTCTACTCAAGGTAAAACAATCACAAAAGCATGAGAAACTATTTGATGGTCTTTCTTGCTTTTCTCTTTCTTTCTCCTTTTTTTCTTTCTTACCTTGGTCTCTTCTAACTGCCTCTGCAGATTTTTGGGGTCCACAGCAATAGGTTCAAGTAAATGTTTGCTCGCTATGGCCTCACAGGCCTCAAGCCCAGAAAGAAGTCCACATGAAGCATCTTCGTAGTGTTGATATTTGTCCACCAGATCTTTAAGATTATTTCCAAGAACATTGCACTAAAAAAAAAAAACAAGAGGCAGAATGCAAGGGAGATTAAAACCTACTATCTTCTCCTGTGTCAAATAACTCTAGGACCTATGAACTATGTAACTTGGGAAACAAAGGAATTCAACCAAAGTTGTAAAGCTTAGGTCCCCCCCACTTTACACGAAGAAGTCAAAAAGCAACTCTACAAACAAGAAAATAGTCAGTAGATTTGTATGAATTCAAACGAAGGATAAAGATATCAATCATCAGAGCAGATCTGCCAGGGCACATTCCCTGGGTATTATACACCATGTGTTTAAATTTGCATTTGATGAAAAGATTTACAAATGCTTAATAAATCATTTCCAAATATCGTATAAGATTGAGTGACACAAATAGAAGAGTGTAGAGTAAGAGTCAGTGATACTTTTAAAAGCACTTATGCACCTTTGCCAGTCTATACACTGACACTGAAAACGGAAATAGTGCTTAGGTGGTGGTTGTTGTTTCTAAACAAAACTACTTAACTTGTCCACAGATGTTTAAAAAAAAAGTGGGGGTAGGCAACAAAACATCGTGTAAGTAATTAAGTATGCAAATAATGTACTCATCAAATACATCTGTGGGGCAGTCTTATATTTGATAAGAAAGCAGTTCCCAAGCTTGAGGCCAACAGCCCCTTTTAGTTTAGTTACACGAGATCCCCATCTGGTGGTAATATTATATATTACAGTGGTGATCTATGGCTTCCTATAAATCCCTGTCAAAACTAAGTAACTTTAGGGCGTAGGTTGTGGCTCAGTGGTGGAGGGCTTGTCTCACATGTGTAGGGCACTGGGTTCAATCCTCAACACCACATACATAAAATAAATAAAATAAAGGTATTATGTCCATGTACAATTAAAAATTAAAAAAAAAACCTAAGTAACTTTAAACTCCTAAACTTTAAACACCTCTGTCAGAAGCAAAGCAAATAAATAAAACTTAAACTATGATTTCCCCTGAATCATTTTTTTAGGCTTCCTGCTTCTAAATTCAAAATAAAAGTTATAAGGACAGCATGAAAACTATAACCATAGATTGATCTTTCCCCTAAAAAAAAAAAAAATTTAAAAAATTACCTTAGAGTAGAGAGACCTGAAGCGATCAGTAGCATGATCTAGTTTGCTCTGGACTTCTTTGTAGGTTGCAGAAGTGTCAATGTTATCCTTGCTGACCTTGCCTCCCTCTTTCTTGCTGCAAGATTTGGCAGCTTCCAACACCCTGTTTCCAGAAATTGTGATGTACCTCAGGTCACCTTTGTGAGAAATGACATCTTCTGAGAAACTCTTCTGCCTCTTCAACTTGGCCATTAAGCCACTGAAGTCATCTGCACCTGCTTCCAGGTTTTCAAGCTCTTGCTCCGACTGCTGGAGCCAGTGCTCAAACTCACTATAATCAGTATCAAACTTCTCTAACTCTTCCTGCAGGGAGTGTGTTAACTTCATTTTCTTCTCAGACTCTGCCAGTGCAGTTTCATAATGTACCTTCAGTTCCTTCATGTTCTTTTGCAGTTTCTCTTTTTCCTCAGGAGAGAGATAGTGGCCCTGTTTTTCGAGCAGTGCTTGTGCGGACTGTGTGGCTATGATGACTGCTTGGTGCTGAGAGATGATCTTTTCGTGTTGAGCCTACGTGAAAACAAATTGACCATAATTTTAAAGCTGTCTGGAACTCCCTGTGGCCTCAGGACTGACAGGTGTCCATGACAAAGGGCTTCTTGCCCCGATTCTCAAGCCGAACAATATTCTCCTTTGATGAATTTCAGAACAGCAAGAATTGTATTTTGATCTCCCTAATCTTATTTTTTTAAGAAAATTTCTATACTTCTCTAATAAGTACTTATATACTAATCACAGAGGACAAATGTTTTTGAGAAGCTGGGGAAAAACATAACAAATTTCTATTCAAATTCTAAAGGAAGCAGGTATAATCTAATCACATTTTACTCATTGATCCCTGACAGCAACCCAAGAGGGACTGATAAAGTCTTTACCTTATTATTGAGTAAATGATTTTTTTAAAAAAAATTAGGGAATGATCTCTATAAAACATTTAGTTAGGGAAAAAATAACTTGCAATTTTAAAATAATAAAAACATTTTTGTAATAATTATACATGAACGATACACAGAGAAGCCAAATAGAAGTTAAAGGAGCAGATATAATAAAAGAAAATACTGGAGTGACTTAGCATCACTGGACTTCAGTTTCCAGACTGTGGAAATGGAGACAATAACCTCTGTATAGCACAGATTTACTGTGAAGAGTATATGTGATCCATACCAAGACTACTTCCTGCAGACACTGATAGGCACTAGGTCCAGTCATTTCCATAACCAAAGGCAACACTGAGACAAGATCATTTATGTGACACTTTAAGAATGGTTCTTCAAAGGTTGCCTTTGATCCTATAGTAGGCATCCATCCTAGCTCTAATTACAACTGTTTGGAGTTTTTTGAAGGGCTTTTTTTTTTAAAAAAAAAAAATAATCTCCTTTCAACAACAGCCTGCACTGTCTAGATGAGCTGAGCTCAGAAAGGGTACAAGTGACTCAAGACTGCTCAGCAAGCCAGTTTGCAAACATGGATTCAAACCTACCAGAGTGACTGAGGACAAAGCTAAATTTTAATCCAAACCCTCTCCCTTACAACATGTATAACTTGGGCAAGCTACTTGAGCTCTGTAAGTCACAGTTTTCCTGTAAAATGAAAATAAAAACCTTGAAGAGTAACTGGGAGGACTAAATGAGGTAAGGAAGAAAGAGTGAAGAGTATCTGGTCCATCATAATGGTCCCATGAATGTCAACTATTACTATGGGCTTGGTTACTTGCTTATGCTACTGCCTCACTTATGTAGAGTGCGCCATCACTAATGAGTTCTCTTTATTTTTTCTGACTCGTCTTTAATTCACTTAACCTATATTTAACATCAGGATAACAAAGGACATCCCTTTCTGTGGCCATCAAGTCTTCATATGTGCTAGGTCATTTCTATTTTTACTGACCTGGAAACAGAATCTGATGACACCACTATGTTTAAAGCCACATACCTTCACTTTCTGGTACTGCTGGTTCAGATTCTCCTCAGTGGTTCCAACAGGCCCATCAAGGTCAGTTTCTAGCAAGTTACCATTGACTTCATCCTCTTCTCCCATCGCCGACCTCCCATTGCCTTCTTGAAAATGGGTCCCATTCTGCTCAATGACCTGCTTGTGTCTTGCCCCCGCCCTTTCTGACTCTTTGTCGACATTTGACAACCAGTCCAAAAGGTTTTCTATTTTGGTTTTACTCTCTTCCAGCTGCTTCGCAGCGGCAACCTGGGCAGGGAAGGTTCACACAGGTATTATGATTGCAGGCCAAGGCATGGTTTTAAGACACCCACAGAATAAATAAATATTTCGATAATTTTAGATTTTAAAAATTGGCAGTGAAAGTTTACACACTAAAATTAAAACCTTAAAGCAACAGGCAGTTTACTCTGAAGTTCTCATTGCTCTTAGAAATACATTCCAAAATTTTAATTACTATTGATGAGGGATCACACTCTCTACAAGTCCAGAGTCTCACAGCCCACTCACTTTTAAGAAGTGAATCAAAGCCAATGTTCCAAGGCTTTTGTTGTATCTGGCCAGTTACAAACCTGGACACCCAGAATTCTAGTTCTTGGTGCTACTTACTGCTCACTACTACCCGATATCACTAAATAAAATCAAGTAGCTGCTATGTAATCATTTTTGACAAAGCAACAGTGAACCATGCATTTGAATAGGACCTTTTCAGTTTCTTCCTTGATTGCTGTCTTCACAACTTTATCCAGCTCCTTTTTCGATTGTTCTGCCTTTAAATTCAGCTGTTCACATTTTATCTTCGCTTCATTAAGTTTCTGTTCTATCAAAGCCTTATCTTCTTGGGACAGCTTTTCACCATTCTCTTTTAAGAAGTTCTCTGTGTTTTTCACTATTTCAGCCAATGCCTGTGCACTTCCCTGCATATCTTTCTGCAACTCCTGGAATATAAAAGAAAAAACAGTACATTATTATCAACTTCACTCTTCTAGAGCTATAATTCTTAGAAGGGAAAACAGAGAGTCCAGCACATGTAGTTTGACAAAGCATTTTGAAAATGTTTATTTGAATTGGTTTATAGTAATCATAAGACTTAATATAATTTTAAATCTCAACAAAGAGGAAAAGCATGAGATTTTCATGCTTAACAAAAAAAATGTAGTTTGTGAAATTCTGAAAACATTGAAGTAGTCAGTATACATGCAAATTTGCATGTGCTGATTTTTTTTACAAGTATACTTACAAAGTTTGTAAATACATAGTAATATTTTTTCTGTTGCTAAACATATATATGAGGGATATATATTTACTGCTCAGGATAAAAAGAAAATAGTTCCCCCAGTGAACTAAGATACCTCCTTCTATTAAACATCAGACCTTATAATATTTGCTTCTTTGACCTGACTGCCAGGAAGCTCAAAATTAAGATCTTTTCTCAGTAGTTTTCCCTTGTCTCAACAGAGGAGATTTCCCTATATAACTTTTTCTCTGTTATTGTGCATTTTAATTCTCTACATTATACTACATTTGAATTTTAATATTATTTTTCTCCATATCTTAAGCCTCCTAAATTTTTCTGAGAAATATCTGAATTGAAAGAGATCCTATTTATTTAGTCATTACTGTGTGACACTATGCTCATGATTTAATTCAGAATATTTACTTAACTCTTATAATAATGTAGCAATGAAAATACAACCAATGAACAAACCAAGGCTCAAAAACATTAAGTTATGAAGCTAACAATAGGTATAGTCTGGAATCTGAACAAACAGGTATCTAGTGAGTGAGAATATTCTTTATCCTGATACCAAAATAAAGATATTCTGATCTGATGTTTTTAATTTGTTTCTCATCATCCTTCAATAAAAGGGAACAAATGACAGAGAAATATGGGAGGAAGTAGCAGCAGCTAAAAAAGTGAAAACCAAGCAAACAAAAACCCCAAAGTGATGGCTAATTTTTCCTGGTCTACAAGTGAGAAGTCTAACTTTAAATGGATTCAAATTTTAATTTACTACTCAAGCTATTTCCACCATCAAACCTCCTTTAATACCTCCTTCATCCAGTATCTTACCTAGAAAATTACCTGGCCTGCTCCAAGTTGGAAATCCAACTTTTAAAATAAAATTTAAAGCTCAGGCCAGGAACTTATAGGTATGCGTTGCTTTTCTATTTTTCAACTATCTAATTGCCTTCCAAATGACAGTAATCAAACCTAACATGAACACAGTTATTTTGTATTTTGCTAATACAAAACCAAGTTCTACCTCTTGCTTGGACTGGTACTTCTTCAACTCCATGGTGCCATCTCCAATCACAAAGGCTTCTTGGTGACCGATTAGGCGGTTCTCAGTCTGGGTGAGGAGATCACATATCCCTTGCAGTTTCTCTTTGTATTCCTGTTGACGCTCTGCCACAATCTAAAATGGAGAAATCCCAAAACACCTTTAATGTATGTTCAAAATTACTATGTGTTATTTCTTATTAGAACAAACTTTTCAAATTTCCTCTACTAAGCTTTTATAAGTATGCTGTAAACATGATAGCAGTGGGGTACACACTGAGCCAAGTGATACAGAAAGAACGAGCATGTCCCATATACAAGGAAAGAGATGGTGTGTGGATGAAATTGCTCAACAGAATACTGGCCATGCATATGTGTAAGAGATGGAACTTCTGACCAACAGGAAGAAACATCTCATTTTCTTAAGCTCTTGAAACCTGCGACACACATAATTAATTCTGCAAAAGGACACCAAAAGAGAAGTTAGTCGTGATTTGTCAGTCAACATATCTGATAAGTATATACAAGTTATCATGCTAGAGACAATGCCTGGGTGCTTCAGGAAATAATAAAGAAAAAATTGCATGCAATACTTTTTACTTAATCACTATGTCTAATTGCACTCCCAAATTTTTCTCATTATTGCTATTAGATATAGCACTCTAGTGCAACTCAGTAAATCTTCTAAAAGATTAATAAGTCAAAACTAATTACTTGCCTCTTTCATGTTCCTATTATATATACACTAATTATTCATCTTATAGTACAACACTTCATGTTTATTAAAAACCTAGCACATGCTAAGTGTTTTACATATATTCTTTTGTCAGTGTTCATAACACTACCAGATAAACACTTATTATTTCCAATTTACCCATCAGAAAACTACAGTTAAGTGACTTGCTCTCACTCACACAAGTGAGTATGGCAGCTGTCATGCAAACTCAGGCAATTTGACCCTAAAGCCCACAATCAGAGCTGCCATATCATCTCCCAGAAGAAAAAGATACTCTTATCTTTCCTTTGCCATATGTTCATTAATTTATCCCTTGACATTTCTGACTGCAACTTTATTTCCTATTATTGGGGATAGGTGGGAGGCAGAGGATAAAGAATGGACCTACACTAACTAGTGTCAGAGAGTCTAAGCTAAATTATGGCATCGTTATAAAAAACAATATTTGTTAAACACTGCAGGGTCCTGTCCATTAACACCGTCCAGAAAATCTTTCTACCAATGCTATTATCCTTGCAATCTACATCAAGTTTTCACACTAAAGTCAAAACAAAGAATTCCATCTCTACAAAGGCAAACCTTCTGATCATCGAGATCTTGTTCTAGCTGTAACTGAGTCTCTAAACGTTGCACATGAGTAGTTGCTGATTCCTGTACATCAAGAAAACACTTCTGAGTTGTATTTAAGAGCCTCAGCAGTTGTCTGCTTTGGTTGGGGGACAAATCTTGTGCATATTCAGAAATGAAGAACTGAATATCGAAGGCAGTAGTCTCCAGTTGCATTTTGGTATGTCCAAGATCTTTTAACACATTCTGTAAACAAAGTTGTAGAAGTTATCAAGAAAGAATGAAGTCATGATGAAGTTTACATTAATATGACTAACTTTTCAAATATGCTCCTTTGATCAGTAGTCAAAAGTTTAATGACACTGTTTTCATTATTCATCATCTAGTAACATGACAATTAATTAATTAAATGCATGGTAGTTAATACACTATGTAAAATAAATAACCCTTCCAGGAATATTTTATCTTACCCTGTGTATTACACTTAAATTCTGCCAAAAGACAAAGGTCCAATTTACATATATTTATAACACTTAAGAGAACCAATGACATTAAATATCAGTCCCTAATATTCACAGCATCTATTTAATTGTGGTAACAATTAAACAATTGTGGAATCCAGGAAATGTGAAATATGAATGAATTAAACAGGCCAGAATCTCAATTTTCTGATTCTGAGGAAAGGAGTCTCACCATGTTCATGGGGCATGTTGTTCAAACTAAGAGCTTGAAAATAAAAAATCATGCCAAAACTGACTACCATAGAAAAACTATTTATACTACTGTGTATAATTTATACTATTTTGTGTTTATGTGATTAAATAATACATAAACAAATATATACATACAAAGCTCAATATGTCAACAGTAGTCATAGTCTGATAAAATATTTGGGACAGCATCAGAATAGCATCCACAAAGTTGTGATTATTTTTTTTTAATTCTCCCCTTCACTCTTTTTTTAATTTACTTTTTAGTTATAGGTGGGCACAATATCATTATTTTATTACTTTATTTTTATGTGGTGCTGAGGATTGAACCTAGTGCCTCACGCAAGCGCTCTATCACTGAGCCCCAACCCCAGCCCCAAAAGTTGTGATTATGTTATGGCTATGTCAACTATGAAGACACACCTCTTAGAGACAAAGGAAAGAATTCTTTTTTGTCTTAAGGAAGTCAAAAAGATTTATACAGTAAGTCAATTTTTAAACACTCACTACATACATCCATAGATTTTATAATGTACTTTGTCACATTAATTCTGGTACTTGCCTTAAGAAACGCCAAACTTTTCTTTACATGTTCAGGATCTTGAACATTCACAGTCTCAATATCCTTCACAGATTTGCTCTTTTCTGATATCCAATCTGAGAAAGACTGAAGTTTATGCAGAAATTCCTCATGGGAAACTGCTAGTTTAGACTGGAAAATAAAGTTGTGCATTCATTTCTGTCTCCAAAATTTCAGAATTCTATAAACAGGGGTTCTTTTTTAAGGGCTTAACACTCTAAAAATAAAATACTTCATCTTGTGACTAAATTCTCAAACACCCAAATTTCATTCAAAATTTGTTGCTTTCACGCCTACCATTTCAGAGTCCACTGCAAGCATAATATGCTTCATTCTTTCTGAAGACACACTGCCAAGGGAAGAGAAGGCAGCCTGCAAGCTCTGCTGGCTCATGCTCAGCTCCTCAAGATGTCTTCTGGGGAAGTTACTGGGAAGAGACCTCAAGAACTCTTCTGCCAACTTCATATCTTTTCTTAAAATCACAGCAATTGGAGCCAATCCCAGTTCAAATGTCTGAAAAGAAACATACCCAGATCTGGTTACTGTTCAGTGAAAAACATAAACAATAAACATAAAAGTACTAAGTACTTGCTTAGCTGATACCATAAATCCATAAATAGATAATTGTTAGAGTTTGGATACAGGATGTCCCATGGCTGGGTACCCCAGCTTGGTGCTTTGGGAAGTAGAGGCGACTTTCAGAGGTGGTAGATCTTTAGGTCACCACAGATATGCCTTAAAGGGGCTTGTAGGTCCTTATCTTAACCCATTAAGCTCTAAGTTTTCAATTCTGTAAATAGTTCAACAAAACTGACACAGGTATACTAAAACAGGTTGGAAATTATAATCCACAGCGTATATGTATTACATTAATTAGTATCATAATTGTTGTATGATCCTATTATATTTAATTAGCATTATTATATTATATATTACAAATGTGCATAAGTGTTTATAAGTGTTCCATATCTGGGAGGATTCGACAAAATAAAGCAAGTGTCTTTCGTTTGCTCTCCAGCCATACAGTAAGTGGTTTCATTCTACCACCTACTCCCCACTATAATGTGCTGCCTTTCCATTGGCCTAAGAGCAACAGGGCCAGTTTAACTGATCCATAGATTGGAAACTGCAAAACTAGGAGCCCAAATAAACCTTTTCTCATTATAAGTTGGTTATTTCAGGTATGTGTTTCAGTAATGTAAAGCTAACTAACAAAGCAGCAGATAATTCTTACCTCTAACTGTTTCAGTTGATTCTTTAAAGCTTCTAGATTGTTATCCACAGACTCATTGTTGTCTAGGGGGGGCTTCATATCTTGAAGCAAAGCCAAATATTCGTGCATTTTTTCAGTGTGCTGTAAACACTGCTGCAACTCAGTGGAAAACTAAAAACAAATTTGGACATTTTGATTCAATCGCCTTTATGCAGATTTTTAAAGCAAATAAAATGTATGGGATTGTTCCCAAATGTTTCATGCAGGTACTTCCATATAAAACATAAAAATCGACTTACTTGTTCCACTGAGCTAACCCCAGAGGTAATTTCTTTTGATCCAGAAATACATTCCAAGTGGTTTGGGAAATCACTATAGAGCTGCTCAAGCTTTCCGTCTCTTGGTAATGCTGAAGCACACCCAGCAGAACTTTCCAGTCCAATTTCTTTTGTAGTTTGTAAGTTAAGGGAACAGAGATTTCCTTCTTTGTGTTTAAGATAATCAAGAACGTGTGGCTTTTCTTCCACTATCTCACAAGCAGTACCTGTTTTTGGAGTCACGATTCCCGTCTCTTCTCCTTTTTCTGAATATCCATCAGAAAGTAGCTTGCAGAAAATCTGTTCAAGTTGCAGTGGAAGTACTCTAGATGAAATCTCTCTTTTCTCTAGGTCACAATCTGTTTGAGTTAAATCTCTCATCAACTCCAAAACTCCTGTGACTTTCTGATTCTGTTGATTTTGCTTCAGTACATCAAGGAGAAGCTCAGACTTCAGATTTGCAAAACAGAAAGCATCATCTCTCTTTTCTGCCTTCAGTTCTGATGAGTTACCCATTGGGCAAATTCCATAGTTATCATCGTTTTTACAGTCACTGGGCACACTAGATGCTTCATTTACCAACTGTGATGAACTAACCCTTTTAATTAAGTCTTGAATTAAAATTTTAGCATCTGCACAAGTTGAAAGGTCTCCCACCTCTTGAGGATTTCTATGGCCTTCTTTCAAACCGCTTTTTAAGATATCCTTTAAATCCTCCACAAGTACTGAAGATAAATCAGGAATCTGAACCTCCTTTTCTTGGGGTCTTAGAGACGAGGCTTGTTCTTTTGGTGACTGTTTCTCAACTCTTTCTTTCTTATCATTAATTTCTGAGGAGTCAGTTTCTAAAATGTTACTAGAGTTATTATTTTTTATTCCATTCATATAGAGCTCTGACTTTACAAAATTGCTATTTTCTTCAAGGTCTTCCACATTTTTAAGAGGTAGGACTGAAAGGGTGGTTTTGCTGTTTTCTGGTGTGAACTGAGGAATTTGTGTTGCTCCTTCCAAGATACTTTCTTTAGTACAAAGATCATTTTGCTGAACTGTGTCATCTAGAGGCTGGTCTTCTTGGGTAGGTGTTGACTTCACTTTCATATTATTAACTTCTACCTGCATATCTTCTTTCATGGGAGGAGCAGCTATTAAGACATGCCTTGGGTTGACTTCATTCAGTTTCAGCACATCTTTTGCTTTGATATTTTTAGCACAATGTTTTAAAGAAGTGAACAACTCAAGTTTTTTCTCAGAACCCTCAGTGACTGAACCTTCCTTGAGGCTGGTATTCCCTTCAGACAAGGTCATATGTGAAGAAATGTCATCACTGTCCACTCTGGAAACTGATGTGTCAAATATTTCTTCAAGATCCTCAAATTGAACTGGACTTTTACTAATCATTGTTTGTGTCTCCTTCGATTCATCTTTAAAAGTTACAGTTGCTTCTTTCAGGCTTCCTTTCTGATTAAGTTCTTCATTGTTTGTGATGTACAGCAATGGAAACTGAGTCTTGTCTAGCTTGAGGTTCTCTCTTTTATTAGGTAAATGTTTGAGGTATTTATTTTCTTCTTCTGGGCCTTCTAAAAGCAGTTCTCCTTGTTCTAAGCACATTTTCTGAACTGAAGTCTCATCCTCTGTTTGCATATTGCTTTTGCTGTTTTTCCCTTTAGTTGAACTTCTTCCATTTCCTTGGTGATCTCTGTCTATCACAGAGACTACGGAAGACACCTGGCCTTCTGCAGGTTTTCCTGTTAACTCAGGCTCAGAACAAATGATTTTATTATAAGATGAGTCACCTTTAGATGTTACAGTCTCAAGATATTGATCTCTGCCTTTCACAAAGTCTGCAGATTCTGGCCCTTGAATCAATTTGACCTTTGTGTTCACTGGACTACTCTCGAATTCAGAAGGTGAACTGATGTTATTTTGTGAAACACCTTCAGGACCTAAGGCTTTTTCTGATTCAGTATATTCAGTGACAGGCAGCAATAAATCTTTAAGTGCCATCTCCTGACTTGACAGATTTTCTTTGCTTTTTCCAACAACCTCAGTTATATGTTCTGGAAGGCTGCCTCTTTCAGTAAATACGTTGCCCTCGCTAGCTGATTCTAGCTGTAGAACACTTACACTTTGCAGTTTTTCTAAAGAATTACAATTATACATTTCATCCAAGAGAATCATTTTACGAATATTTTGATTTTCATCACTGTTTTCCTTTCCAGCAGTGGAACAAAACTGGCCATCTTCAGCCTTATTTTGGCACATTGGTCTTCCATTCTCATCTTCCACTTCTCCCCCTTCCTCCTCATCAAGATCATCATTACCAAGATTGTCATCATCATCGTTGTCATCCTGATCATTACTGTCACATATAAAATCCCCATAACTTTCTTCACTTTGCACAGAATCTAAATGATCAGTATCAGATTCAAATTCTTTTCCAGTTTCAACCTCTTGTTTTCTTCCTCTCCAACTGCCAGTGTCATCAAATTTTAATGAAGCACCAAAGCTCTCTTCCTTTCCCACAGTTTCATTATCAGTCAATGAGTCGCACTCGTCACCTTCAAGGTCATTTGTGGGTCCCCTTTCTGATACACTCACATCTAAGTCAGCAGATCTTAAATGCTTTCTGTCACCAGAATCAAATTCAGCTTTCTCAATACCTACAAGAAAATCCTGCAGACATTGTGCTCTGCCCCTCAAATTTAAGCTACCAACTAGTTCCTCCTGGGCAACCACAAAATCTTCATTCTCTTTTGGAACATCATAAAAAATTTCACCAGGAGGCGCTGTCCCATCTGTTTCCTCTTGTAGTGTATCATAGTCCTCGGGCTGCAGACAATCATGGTCATCACCTTCAAGAAGCAGAGAATCATGGTCATCATCTTCAAACAAGGGAGTGTCATAAAAGTCATCATCACTATCAGTGTCTGTTCCTGTGTCACTCTGCTGATCATCCAGCAGTGACGTTTCATAGTCACCAGCTCTGGCAATTTCTTCATGCCACAGTTTACCAGGTATGTGAGGTGGGCTGGCACTATCAGGACCACCCCTTGGAGACATGGCACAGGAGTCCTCTTCCACTTCACACTCCTTTTGCTCCTCTTCAGCTTTCGGCTGAGAAGCATCAGGCAATTTTTCATTCTCCCCAGAAGTATGTGACACATATTTATCATTATGATATTGTACTTGAGAGGTACTACTGCCAATATTTAAAGATTTTTGTTCAAGGTGCTCTTCCTGTAAGCTGATGTTAATAGCTGCAATTCCTAGAAACTGGTCTTGAAATTTTTCTCCCATTCTTTGATCTGATAACATGCTTTGGTCATTAAATGACAATGAAGAGGCTTCATATTTATTGCCATTGCTCTCTGGGGTGTGTCCATTATTTAAATCTCCCTGACTGTGCCTCAATTTATCATGGCTTAATAAGGCACTTAGCCTGGGGGAATAGTCAAAGATAGATGCATCCTGGCTGATGTTATCCTCATTCTCCAATTCATTCAAATCACAGAGTCTACCAGTTTTCAATGTCATGATAGGATTTGTTATCAAATCACTTGCAAAGTTTTGAATGTTTTTAGAACAGCTGTTTTCATCTGCATGTTCATTTGTTGCAAGTTGACTTTGACTTTCACATTTATTAAGTATGTTTTCAGAGCCATGTCTAAGCATGCTATCTTTTCCAAGTTCAGTTTGTGTCAAATATGATAAGGGATTGGGAACACATACACTGGATGAACTGTTAACTTTATTATCAATTGTTATTGTATTTGCCAGGTTGTCAGACTGGTAAGATGCACTAGTGATAACATTATTTCCCATTTCATGAAAGTCTTCAGCTATGGCACACTTTCTATTTTCAGGATTCTCTTCATGTTCAGGTTCAGTGTAATGAGATTTATAAAAAGTAGCTGGTGAAGTTGCACATTCATCCTTTTCTATTCTTGGAACATTAGTAAGAACTACACCAGGGAAGCTTAAGACATCAGGACTTTCTCTTGTGGGTATGTCCTCCTCAAATTCTGCCCTGCAACCTTCTAGTAGTATACCAACTGCCTCATCCAAGTCTCCATCATACAGCAAAAGCCTCTGCCCTGTGTTGGCATCCATATAACTATTTACCATCAAGTAAGATAAAAATAATTTTTTAGTTTGTTCTGAGTTCTGAGTTGTCACTGGCTCTTCTCCATCAAAAACATCCTCTTCTTGCCTGTAATCATGAACTGTAGATGGCTGGAATTTACAGAAAGAGAGCCATCTTCTGGCATTTTTACATGTCTCTAAGTCTCCTAAATCAGGCATTTTATCTGGCAGTGTTATATTCTTTAAAACTGATACTGTTTTATTATCTATAATTCCGAGCTGCTTGGCAACATCCAAACCAATGACTTGAGAACTTTCTGGAATATAAAGAGCAGCTATTTTCTGCCTGCCATTCAGTATTTTGTAGGCCAACTCATTTGTAATCAACTCTTGCTGCAAGGAGGAAGATGTAGGGAATATTTCACCAGAATGGGGCCAAATGAGTCCAACATAGCTTCGCTGAGCCTCTAGAACCAAGAGAGCACTGCTGGAAGTTATCAGATCACACTGGACTGCCTCATCTACTGTTAAGCGTTTAGCGGGATTAGAGTGGATGATTCCACCTGTTTGAACCTGATAGGTGAGAATACTGTGGGCAGTGTCTCTGTCAAGCACCCCTTCTGCCATGGCTTCTTCAACAGTCAGTTTTTGACCAGAGTTACAATTGACTAGACCACCAGACAGAAGCTGAGCACCCAATAACCTAAACATGGTCTCACGGTCTATGAGACCTTCATGAGCAGCTCTTAAAATGCTTATGCTTCTTCCACATTTTAACGTTATTCTGCCCCCTTCTTGTGGTCTCACAGGTAGAAACCACATCCCAGTACTTTCCTGTAAAACACTTCTTTGTACCATATCTACTAAAGACACCTTCTCAGAGGTGCAGGGGTCAATTAGGTCCCTGCACATATTTTGCCTTTCTAGAACTTTAGAAAATAATGTTGAGGAAACCAAGTTCTGCTGGAATGCTTTGTGTAGGGTCAACTGTTCTCCCGTAGCTGGAACAACCAGAAAGCCTGTGGAAAGCAGTATCTCAAGAACTTTGACAGCCATGGATTCTGATATCACGCCTTGAGCAAGAGCATCCAGCACAGGAATTGTGGTAGATGGCACAGCAGAAATCATCTCCTTAGCTTTATTTAACTCTTTGAGTTGGCACAAAATTTGTTCATCAATAAGGCCTTGTCTTTCAGCATCTTTGAGGTCAAAGCACTTTTTTAACTCTGGTGAAATTAGACCAGAAATCATCAGCTGTGTCTCAAGCAACCTGACTCCTGTGTCATAGTCAATGAGGCCTCTTAAAACTGCCTGAAAGACTGAAAGGACTTCTCCAGTTGTCTGATCAACGGTGCCTGCAATCACTTTATCCAGCTGAAAGGTAAAGTAAAAAAATTACAGGTCAGTCTGTTAAACAACAGCAGGGAGAGTTTTATGCAACTTAGTTTTTTTTTTTTTTTTAATAATACACTTCATCAAAATATCCTCTACTTACCAAGGCGCAGCAATTCTGTGAATGTTAGGCAGCTCAAATGCACAAGTGATCTATGTCAGTGATCTATTCAACAGCACAGGATGTGATAAAAGCTTTAAAAACAACATGCATCTGTGAATTGAAAACTTGATATTGTGTACATTAACAAGGTTAGTGAGGACACAACAGAGTAGATGGTGACAGAGAGAAAATAGAACACGTACCTAGAAGGCCAATCATGCTTTCTGTATTTGGGTGAGATTAGAGTCTAGTGATATGAAAGAGCATCAAACCCCATGCTATTCATGTTTACAGCATACAGGTTTCTTCAAAGACAGTAAAAAACTAAGGAACCATAAAAATTGTTACATACCCCCCAAAATGTGACAAATTATGTGGAAAGTTGTTTCCAGGAGTAACAGAATTAAATATAAAAATAAATTTTTTGAAAATTAAATATTGGGCATGCTAACAGTCAAGTTTAAAAAATTAAGAACCAACCAAATATTAAGCAATTCCTACTAGATTTTATGAAGGTGCTAGAGCATCCTCACAGTAATGTATGACCTTAGATTATTCAAATAACTCTCATGGGTATCTCTGAAAATCAAACTCCAAAGCCCTTTAGAGATGACCCACAGGATCTTCTTTAACATCACATTTTATAATAAAATACCTAATGTGGCAACAGAAGAATGAATTTTAAAGAGAAGAGTTAGAAAAATGAATGAGTCTTTTCTTTTATCATGCAAGGCAGAGATTAAGATGTCATGGAAATTGATGATCAGCATGAGTAAGACTGTATTTAATAATGCCAAAATCTCCAAACACATAAATAAACCCATTCATAGTTTACCCACATACAAATGCATTTATTATTGACATCTATTTCCACAGTCATGCAATTAAAATAGGCTTCTTGAAACAGCCTCATGGTTAATAAGTATTACCTTCTCCTCTACCTTTGTATCGCCTGAGGTTTGTGATTCTTGTTTCAGAGATCCACTGAACAGTAAATTATAACCTTCTTGAAGAGTTTTGACTTGTTTTTCCAATTCATTTCTTTCTTCTTCTGTCATTCTAAAATAGAAAGTAAGAAAGAGTAATTCTAACTTTCAAGCATAAAAATTATGTACTAGGTTCAATATCATTGTCACATGTCTTAAAATATAGCCCCACATACACATTTCTTAGCCCTTTGTCCAATTGCATGTGAAATTTAGGACGGTAAAAACATCTAGGGGTCTCCCCTTATTTGAGAAAGGCATTGAAGGAAAGTGTGTGAACTGATGTTTCAGCATGTCCCCAATATATAAACTTCCAGAATAACTGCTGTTATCTGAAAAGGGAAACATACTGTTCTTAGCTCCAACAAGGAAAGGGAACAGTATGGTGCCATTTCTCAAGATAAAATTTGCTTAAACTGAAGAATAAAGAGACAGGGAATTTACAAGGACATTAACTTGATTCTCTAAGATGCAATATGAAGTCCTTCTGGAATAATCTTAAAGAGGGTGTCTAAAAGGGCTTTAAGACAAGTGTGGATTCCTTTCCTGAGTGATTAGTTGAAATATATGAAGTACCTTGTGGAAAAATGCAAGACCAAATCATGAAAACAGCAAAGGAAACAAAAAACATACCAACACATGTTTTCCAAAAGGTGGTCTCAGAAAATGCTCCCTAGAACTAAGACTTGACCTGGAGTTTCAGCTCTATCACCGACTAGCTACTAACCATTAGCCTCTCTGGCCTAATTTCTTATCAATAATATATGGGAATAACAGGTAAATTTCTGAGCTGTGGTACAGACAGAAGTAACAATGAACTATATTGCTAATTTTATATTCTATGTGATATGAAGTAAACTCCCTAATTCATTTGAATTCCATTTTTAAAATCATAATTCAAACTTACCAACTTCTTTTTTGTTCAACATTTGATTGATTGATTTAGCTATTGTGGATTGAACCCAAGGATGCTTTGCTACTGAGCTACATCCCCAGCCCCTTTTATTTTTTATTTTCAGACAGGGTTTTACTAAATTGCCAAGGTTGACTTCTAACTTGCAATCCCCCTGCCTCAGCAACCCAAGTAATTGGAATTACAGGTGTGAATGACTCTGTGCCTGGCTTATTTTGCTGAACATTTTAAAGATCATGTCCCTCCTCTGAATAAAAGTGCTAATGAAAAGCAACATACTTGTCTCCATGTTTAGCCAGAAAGAGCTGCATGGTTTGAAGTGCTTCAGATAGCTGTTCTTTCTTGGCTGATATTTCCTCACTGGAAATCTGTAAGGCAAAGAAGGCATATTCAAACACACGCCTCTAAAAGACCACACAATAGTAATGTTAAAAAAACTAATCAAGTTTCAATTAAGATCCAAGTGACGGATCTACATAATGGGTGACCCAAGTCCATAACAAATCAGTTTCTAAGCATCTGTAGGCCTGGGTAAGAAGAGTACTTTATTTAGAATGCTTAATTAAGGAAAGTGCTTTTCTCTATCCTCAGTGCCATCATTTTCATGAGGTAACATATTTCCTGCATCTGTCTAGCCCAAAGATGAATAAAAGTGGCCATAACACTGAGGTGGTCAGAGGTTCATTGACCCAATGTTATTCTCACACATCATGGTTCTCAGAAAGATTTGTAAATGTGGAACACCACCTCCAGAGTTTCTTCCCCCAACCTCCTAAATACAAGGTTCCCTTTGAAAAAAAAATATGGTAAAAGTATTATTCAGTATGTCTGCAGATCAAGATTAAATAATTTCTGATGCAAAGGCCCTCTCTTATTAAAAGTCACCTGTGGCAGTCAGAGAAGTAAAATTGATCTGTTTGGCAAAAAGCAAGAAGTTGGAACACTGACTCCTACTCCCTCAGTATATCACTTTTGAATATATTCCAGCAATAGTCATACTTTTAAATGAGTAAAAATGTGAATAAATGATAGGCCCATGAAAGATATATTAACCTTCGACCCTGTGTATCCTATTAGAGATAATTTTTCATGGTTATAAATAATCATGAGGCCATATGGAATTCTGGCAGACACACTTACCACATACATCAAATTACTTAAATTTCCTTTAATGAAAAGACCATCGAGTGTTCTTAGAGAGTTATAAATAAGGCTGTGATCTACATTAAAATTATCTGTCTCCCTTATGTACACTAGAACTGACTTAGTAATGTTTTGGAGAACCTGAAACTACAGAATGTTAAAATGATTCATGTTTCTGTAAAGGAACCTATTCTGCTGAGAAATCTTTGGCTAAGGCTTATGTACCTATTTTCATTATCTTCCTATTTTTGAGAAAAGAGAAAAAGGGGAAATATGATAAATATTTACATTAAATTATCCTGAAACTCTTGGTTTAAAACACCAAATGTAAATGCTTCTCAAGATCTCATTTCTTCCATGCTACATAATACATACCATGCAAGACTGAGCTAAAACAGCTTTATTTCAACTCAATGATATTTCAAGTGAACTTGAGTCAATGAACTTCCCTAAGAGTGAATCCCAGATAAGTTATTCCTGCCCTTACATCATGGGCAAAATTAAACAAGACACTGATATCTTTCATTATAATCATATCAACAGTGTCTGTTTCAATGATTACAAGTGAGTACTGTGGCAGAGCTGGGCGAATCACTACATATCAAGGTTAAATGATAGTCTTGGATATTTCCAAATGTCAGATAGGCATAGGAGGGCAATGGTGACAAAAGTATTACTCAAAGAAAAAAATTTCCACTTATCTTAGTGGAAATTTACTTTTTGAAAATATAGCAGCAATTCCCACCGTGAGTAGCAACACTACTAGAATCTGTTCCTTAATTACCAATGTCCTAAAGGCTTCAGGTGGTACAGTTCAAGAGGCATCATGGAGCACTGGCATCTCACAGTTGCAGCCACCCAACCAATGCCAACTAATGGGGGTTCAGAAGATAGCTCACGCACCCAAAGAATTCACTTGGTTAAAAGAAAGAAGCTAAAGTTTCCAGTGGTGGACGGTGGATACTTCCTTATGAAATAGAAATGACCCAGAAAAGCACAACTAAGGTTACTACTCAAAAATGATAATATCCTACTTCATATTTTCACTGTTCTTGAACTTATTATGTTTATGTCTGGAAGAACGAGACTGCAACTGTGTATCTTTATGGTATGGAGTGTATGGATCACTCTGGACACAAAACAGGACAACTCTGCTCTTCAACAGTTCTCATTGCAGTTCTTGGGAAGCAGATCTAAACATTAGGAAAAGCAGGGCAACCTATTTTACTAATAGCAAAACCTAGAAAGGCAGCAGAATACAACATACACTAGTATGGTAATATGTAAAACAGTGGATGTGTAACCGATGTGATTCTGCAATCTGTACACGGGGTAAAAATGGGAGTTCATAACTCACTTGAATCAAATGTGTGAAATATGATATGTAAGAACTATGTAATGTTTTGAACAACCAATAATAAAAATTTAAAAATAAATAAATAAATAAATAAACCTAGTTTGCTAATAGCTAAGCGAATAATATAGTTCAGGCTTTCAAATCAGACATCACCTTCTGCCACATTCTAACTGTGATTCCTTGGGCAGTTATCTAACCTCTCTGTTCCTATGATTGCTTTCCTATAAAAACTGGGGATCGGTAAGGTAAAGAATTAGATACTGTGCAAGATGGGCTACATCATCAGTTCAGTAAGTTCTACCCACAATTATTTTTAAGCCAGAACCTCTGTGAATACCTTTTGCTTAGAGAAGGGAGATTTTCCAGCCTTCTCTCCATCTCTCAATGTCTTGTTGATATTTGATACCCATTTCTGTAACTCTTTGGCTTTTTCGACATGCTCGTTCTTTTCTTCTTCCAGTGACTTCTGACAGATGTGAGTGGTTAAAAACAAAATTACATTTCAGTAAATAACTGCACTATTAAACTAACCTATCCACCAAAAACAAGAATGTATAAACATTTGCTCATCACACACAGGTTACTCATTTTATTCATTCACTTAACTGTATTGCATAGCAGATGTACTTACAAAATGTTTACAGTAGCAAAGAAAGCTGTGACAAACATTTTCTAATCATTGGTCTATCCTCCCAGCTGCTACATCAATACAAAAACAAACAAACAAACAAAAAACCTTTATTCATGAGGCACTAGAAGATTTTTGCTTTGCTGCCTTTGCATTAGCATTACAATTTCGATCTCCTTAACAGAAAGGTATCCAATAATGGAAAGCTGAAAGGATTAAGAATCTATACAAAGATGAAAGATGAGAAATACACAGAATGCGGAAAATCCTTCCCACTCCTCTGACAATACATTCATAACGTTAGCTTTTAATTCCAAAATCTCAACTAGGAATGAGAGATGATGGGGAATGTTTTAATATGGAAAGGTTACTACAAGCAAGAAAATACAAATTTTTTTCTTTTTCCAAAGCAATCTTACACACTGCAGCCTCAATGGGGGAGGAAATGAATTTCCATCTCTTAAGATTCTGTGGTGCTTTGTCAAGTGCTTTCAGGGAATGCAATGTGTCAGTAAATGGGAATGTGAACACCAGGCCAGTGTGAAGAAATGTTGCTGTGAACATGGTAAGTGCATCACATGTACCCCATATTCTAGGTAAAATGCATTTATTTTAGTGTGGGTAAGATTCAAAAAGCTATTCTCAAGCTAAATGGAACCATTTTAAGTGCACTAAATCTTTGGTTATGTTCAATTGAAAAATTATTGTCTAAGTAGTGAACTATTTCTGGCCTTCAAGAAATAAGCAGTGGTCAGTTTCACAGTTCGTAGACTGCATATGTAGTCAAAATACCATGCTGTAAATAGGTGGTACAAGCCCACCAGCACTGCTCCTTGCGTAAATTTTTTAAACATGTTCTATTAGGAAGAGTAATACAGGCTGGAAATTCCTGTCATCAAAGGTTCAGACACTTCTAAGAGTTTAAGTCCTGTGTGGAAATCAAAATCAGCTTTTTCTAAGGCTTCTTTATAATTCAGCTTTCTTTTGGTCCGGGGACATATTATATTCCGGTTATATGATTTTTGATCTTTGAGTCTTGTGGCAATGAGGACATCTATGATACCTACTTGGAGAGCCTCTTCTATGGACAACCGAGAGTGAACCTGAGGCTCCATCAAGCCCCCTGTCAAGTACTGAAATTCCAGACATCGGATTCCCATTTCCTTACTTATGATATTTGCATTCACAGCTTCTGCCACCGACATTGCTTTGTTGGTGACGGGATGGCTAATCCCGGTGATAACTAACTCACACTGTCTTAGCTGCTGGGCAAAGCCCTCATCTACTAGGCCTCTATGCAAAGCTTCAGCCACCCTGTACTTTTTGCCAGTTAGGGGATCAATTATCCCGCCTGTGCTGACCTGGGCTTCAAGGCATCGGAGGGCAGTGGTCCGATCAACCAAATTTCTCCTGGAGGCCTTTAGTAAAGAGATCCTTTCCCCACTAGCAGTCAGCCAATAGCCTGCGATGGGACTATGCATATCCTTCTTGGGAACTAACCGGCTCAGCAAAGAATCAGCAAGTTCTGTAAGTGTGATGAGGCCTTCCTGATATTTTTTGAGCAAGGCTTTGTCAATTGTTCCCTGCTCTATAGCCTCACTGATATTCAACTGTAATCCTGTTTTAGTGTCAATCAGCATTTGTGAAGAATGCCCATAGGACTCAAAAAACGTGGCTTCCTTCCACTGATACTGCTGTCCTGACAGTTCAAGATAAACACTTTTGTCAATAAGATTTCTCTGGAAAGCTTCATATGCAGTCAGTTCTGCTCCTGTTTTAACATCTATCACAGAAATTTTGTGAGTTTTCTCTATGTTGAGATTGGAAATGTCCCTCTCCCCAAATGGCAACAGAAAGCACTGGCAATCGACATCGAACACACACATTCGCAGTAATTCTGAGTAATACAGAGCTTGCTTGTTATTGGGATTAGGAAAAACCCTTGTGTTGCTGGATGGCTCATGTAAAAATTGTAAGATGGCATTATTTAATAGTCCCAGCTGCAGAGCAATTTCTGGAGGAATACGAATGCCTCTCACGGGGTCGATGACACCCCCACTGGCAATCTGGGCCTCTAAGATATGTTTACCTTTTTGTCTGTCAAGCATTCTATTTTCCATAGCTTGAAACACTGACAATGTCTTAGAAGAGTATGGATATCCAAGGACTGCCTTCTCTGCCTCAAGGAGCCTAATTCTGAATTCAGGATCAACAACCCCTTTGAGTACAGCATCTTCAACAGAATATGTCTGACCTGAAATGGGATCAATGATAAAACCTGTTGCAGCCTGAGCTTCTAAAAAGGCTAACGCCATCATTTTGTCTATTATGATTTTCTTGGCTGCTGAGGCAAATGAAATCTTTTCTTTTGTAGATTCTAAATAAAGGCCTGCAATTGAGTTAGCTTTCGTCAAAAACTTGCTAAGAGTTTTCTGAACTTCTTCAACAGTCTTCAGACCAAGTCGGAGCTGTTCAACTGTTCTCATGTCCAGAAGCTTAGCTTCAACCAACTGCCTGGCAGTCACGATATCCCTGAGACCTTGGAATTTAAATTCATCATCCCTAACTGAACAGGCCAGGTCACTATTGACATTCTGGGAAGTCTCTGGTTCTAAGCCTTTCTGAAGGAAATCTCTCTTGAGTCCATCTGACCCTCTGCATCCTTCCAGCATCCATTCTTTAGCACTGGGAGCTGAGTTCTGTTCTTGTTTTAATGTTGTGACTTCTGTATGCACAGCATACTGCTTGTCCTTAGCTATCTGCAACAGGAATTTTTAAGATGTTAAAAGTCACCTAAAGAACTTGATGTTACTTACCCATTCTCAATCAAAATATAATCACAAAGATAAGTGAAGGAAAAAATTTCAAAACAAGCGGGGGTGGTTTCAGGAATAAGTAATATTATTTTAAGAGCCTGAAGTTTACTCTAGGTGACAACTAATGATAGTTAAAAAGGCATGTTGCACTGAGATAAAATGTGACCACAGAATATGGCCAAGGTTACGGTTAACAGCCTGGTTCTTCTGGCTTGTTTTTATAGTCACATTTTTTGAAATACATTCCCACAGACATAACAGTATACCCATTATATCTGTGTGCTTAATGTCAAACATTTGCAAATTAAAGAATCTAACTTACTAGATTCAGGTAAATAAATCACTAGAAAAATTACAGCATTACTTTCTTCTCAGAAATATAAAGCCAAACACATTCAAAATTGCTAAAAAACTTAGTCTAGGAGAGAAAAGAAATAGAAGAAACTTGACATTAGGTAGCTGATAAGGTCTCAGAACACAAGTATACCTCTAAGGGTGTCAAGAGCTTCACCAACTCCATTTCACATGAGCCATCCTGACACCTGGCAGGTGCTCGGCAACTGTGCAGGGCTTGATCTCTTATCTTCTCTATTTCTGATAGCCTTGTAATAGGGTTTTTCTCATCAAAAGTTATCTGTAATTCAGTGCTTGTTTGGGAAAAATACTCAGAATAACACTGCTGGCTTTTCTCTCTCTCAATTGGAGCCCCTGGAGGCCGGAACTGGACTTCTTTGGGCATTTGCTCAACAACCCGATGCTGCCATTTCTCTTCTACCTGCTGTGGTTCTTGAGTCCATCTCGACAGAGGTGGTCTGGCTGTTGAGTGAAGGTGCCCAGTGGTCCTAGAGGGGAACTCTGGAGAGTGTTGACACTCCTTCACTGTCATCTCAAATTCTGGTGTGAAGGTGCAGTTGTTGGCTGCGTTCTTTTTCTGGATTTCACACTGGAGCAAAACTAACTGGTGTTCATGCTCCTTTATCTGCTGATCCATTTTTTGCTTCAGGTATTCAACTTCACGCTTCTGGGTCATCAGCTCGTCCTCAAGTTTCCGACATTTTTGGTAGTGGTTTGCTTCCATGTGCTGCCCTTGCTGCATTTGTTCACGGTACCGCTGGAGCTGCCTTTCAAGATCTTTAATATTCGTTTCACAAAGCTTGGCGTTCTCTTGAGCTCTGCAGTTTTCCCGCTGAAGAGATGCAAAGTCAAGCTTAATGCCTGAAATATCATTTTCAGTAATGACCTTGGACTCCATTAATTTTTCCATCTTTTTCCGAAACTCCTCTGCTGAACGTTTGAATTTATCAGACTCTTCCTGAAACAGAACCATCTTTCTGTGGGTCATCTGCTCTTCTATGGTCTTTAAGTGCAGTTCATCTTGTACCTTTTTCAACCTATTATTTAACTCTTGCACCTGAGCCTGTTGAAACTGAACTTTCTGTTCCCCCCTCCGCTTTTCCTCTTTGGAAGCATTCAGCTCAGCGTTCAGATTTCTAACCTCTTTCTCAGTGTTCTGGATGATAATGTTCTGTTGGTCACACTTTTGCTTGAATTCACTTACTAAGTTTTGACTCTTGGCCAAGTCTTCTTCTAGGCTTTTAATTTTTCTCTGGAAATCCTGTTCTGTTTTTGTCTGTTTATGCAAGTGCTCATTTGTGTTTCGTAACTGATCTTTAAAACCATCTGCCTGAATTTTCAGTGCTTCACATCTTTGCTGGATAGCTTGTTTCTCTAAAACTACATTCTTTGATTCTGCCTGAATTCTCTGCATCATTAATTTGGTTTCATTATTCTGCCTAGTAAGCTCATCGACTTTTTGTTTTAGCATTTCTGCACATTCATTACTCTTTTCCAATTCTCTGTTGAGCTTTTGGATCTTATCATTATTTTCTTTCTCAGCTTTAATATTCTGAAGCAACTGCTCATGGCTTTTCTCAAACTGTTCTTTCAGATGATCTGATCTTCTCTGGCAGAGCCGTCCTCTTTCATTTGACAATTCCTTCTCATCCTGGAAAGAATGAACCT